GTTGTGTCAGGGTTTGGAAGGAAGTTGGATCCAAGGGCAGTCAGATAGATGGATATAACAAAATGCAAGCCTTTTTTTACAAAAAAGCTGATAAACAAATGTACAAACCGTGGAGCACGACGATTACCCACTCTTGCACTTGGTGACATGCTCCTTCATTAAAATGAACACATACACTGTCATGCTTTCACAAAAAGTCACGAGAGCACCAAATTCAGATCAATCCATGGCTGAAAAATGTCATCCTTCTTGATACATTTTTGTAAGAAGAACTACAGTGACTAACATTTTTTTTAAATGACTGACGCTTTCTATACAATTCAACTAGTTACTGTATGAGTCAATTGTTTTAGGATTTACATTTTTTGAGAAAAAGCCAAGAGTATTCAGAGGCGGACTGACACATTGTTTGTTTTTTAGGATTTGATAACAATGAAAATGCTTGGTTTCTTAGGCGTGTTTTGTTTCTATATTGAATAACAGATGTATTATACTGTTCATACAGGTCAACTGAAGCAGCAGAGTCTTCCTTCAAAATACATTTTGAAGAAAGAAGCTAACCAGGGGGAGAAACTGAAGAATTTGTTAACTTGTGGTGGTAACTCACTAGACCAATATGACAGATTTGTTGTTATTGTGAACAAGAGCAGTCCAGAACAAGTGCAGTATCTCCAGTTTCTGACTAAGCTGAAACTATTTTGTGTGCTAGACTTTGACCCCAACTCTGTTGCTCCTGGGGGACTCTGTCATTCCTACAGAGAGTCAAGGTTAGCCAATCTGCATACTCCATCACAATATCAAGGAAAGACTGACTCAGTGATAAAGGACCTTAACCTCTGCAAGCAGACAAGCTGGATCTTCTGCAATGGCAGACATGACCTTGACAGTGACTTGAACAAGGAGTTAGACTATAAGAACTGGCTGAGGAAATCTTGCAGAGACGTAGAACAGTTAGTATCATTCATCTGCAACCACGAAGTTTTTCACCATGGAAGAAGTCTCATCATATTTCTCCTTCTTTCACCTGTGGTCACTGAGAAAGACCCAATCGTTGACATCTACAAATCATTCATAAAACACATCAAGGAGGAAAGCATCATCAATATTTGTGAATCTCAGAGCACATACCAGAAATGGAGGGAGCTGATACAGGAAAAGTGTGATTTCGACATTGAATGTCTATCAATAAATGAACTAACCTTAAGTGAAATCAATGGTACTATAATGGCACTGGGGCCATTCAATCAGTCATCTGGAAGGTTACTTCCCTCTTCTGGTTCCAGTGCCATTGCCTTGAAACAGAAGGATGAAGATTTCATTACTGCTCTGGATATTTTGTGTCTGAATCAGTGTGAAAATACCTATGATGAAAACAGTGAAGAGTTCCAAGATTTTAGAAAGAACGTTGAGGAGGAATTCTTCAGAGGAGGCAAAGTAAAATGGTGGAACTTTTACTTCTGTGACAAAAACAAAGATAAGCCATTTATCAAGCGGGACAAGTATGCCAATGTAAAGAAGATGATCAGGCATAACTTGAGAGATTCACAGGACATGTGTGTTCTGCTCAATCTGTTTCACCAACCGGGCTGTGGAGGTACCACCTTAGCAATGCATGTGATGTGGGATCTCCGTCATGAGTTAAGATGCGCTGTGCTGAAAGACAACACAGTACCAAAGACAGAAGTAGCCATTCAAGTCAAAAGACTCATGAAACTTGAAAGTGAGAAACCATCTCCAGTATTGCTGTTAGTGGATGATTCAACAGGAACCGAAAATCATAACGACCTTGTGAGCTGCATACGTAAAGAAGTTAGTTTGAACATTAATTTGGATGATGAACCAAACTGTAAAGTCATTATCCTTAACTGTGTTCGTTGCCATAGCCCAAAAGAGCAATTCAAAAAGCACATTCCAACAGAAAGTCAACATATAACGTCTTCATTGACACAAGAAGAGCAGAAGGACTTTGAAAAGAAACTCAAAGAGCTCAAAGAAACTCATGAAAAACCTGAAAACTTTTACAGCTTCATGATCATGAAAAGTAATTTTGATAAGAAATATATTGATGGCATTGCTCATAACACACTGGAGAACTTTGATATCAGCCAAAAGGAGGCCCGAATGTTTGCCTTCTTAGCATTACTGAATACCTATGTTGCAGAATCCGAAATATCTCTCTCTCTTGCTGAAGAATTTTTGGGAATGAAAATGATACATTGGAGAGAAGACAGTGTACTGGACAGAATGAAGCCATATTCCAACTTTCTCATTGTACACAAGGTTGAAGACTGGGGAGGATATAAAGCAATCCGAATCCTTCATCCGGCCATTGCATCTGCCTGTCTGGAAGAGTTAGAGAGAAGCTTCTCTTTAAAAGTGAGCGATATTACTATGGAGGTTCTTCACTGTGATCTCTTCTTCAGTGTTGGAGTTGCCAAACACAAATTGTCAATTCAACAAATGGTGATTGAAAGGCAGCGCAGCAAAGATGAGAGAGGACTATTTTCATCTCTCATAGACAAGGTCCACAGTCAGGAAGGAAGGCAAACTGTCCAAGAAATATTTGTGAAAGCATCATCCAGGTTTGAAACAAGTGCATCTATTCCTCAGGCCCTGGCAAGATATTTGTACATCAACGAATGTGACTTCCCAGAGGCTCTGAAATGGGCAGAAAAGGCCAAGAACATCAAAGAAAACCCATACACATTCGACACAATTGGGCAGATTCACAAAAAACAATTAAAATCTAACAACAACAGAGAAAAGCAGGAAACATCACACAATCCAGAAGACTTAAACACAAACATAAAAATAGCGCAGAATGCCATCAGAGCGTTTCAAAGCGCTCAAGAGCTGGCAAACACAGAGAAGGACCCTGAGGATAAAGCTGCTGCTGATGAGTCGGATGACTTTCCCAGAAAGTCATATAATGTTAACGGCTATGTGGGTGTGCTGGAAATTGCCTTCATAATCTTTGAGATATTATGCAGATTGCCGTTCTTTGAGGAAAGAGATCCAATGAAGAAGAAGTACTTCCAGAGTTACCTGCAAAAACGAATCCCAATCACCAGCGTGCATAAGGATGACAATGACATCAACAACAGATATGTGGAGATCATCAAAGAACATGAGCAGTTTCTCCTTGGTTTGAAAACTGAAGTTAAAGACACATTTGATCTTCTTGACTGTTACTTCACATATATTAAAGCAAACAATTCCGAAGTTGTTTCAAAGAATCGTTGGACCGTCAGTGGGTTTTTTAAAGACTTTGTAAATCTTTTTTGCACTGCAACTGATGAAATGCGAAAAGAACGACTAAGCAATCCTAATCTCAATTTGAAAATAAATATTGAAGAACGAAGATTGATTCTTGAAGCAAAACATGCAGATACATTCACAGGGATTCTTCAGCATCTGGACAAGACTGCCGAAGAGATTGAGGAGATCACAGCATGCTATGAATTCTTGCAACAAAAACAGCAGTTTTTCAATAAAAAACAACAGACAAAGGAAACTATCAATTACATTATGTCGAAGATAGTTCTTTACCTTTTGAAACCAACATCTAAGCATGTAAAGAGACTCAACCACCTCTCTGATCTGCTTTTGAAAACTCTGACAGATGTAGGACTTGGGTATCCCTTCCCAGACCCATACTATCTGGCTTTGCTGCTGTTCTGGCCAAGTTCTACTCAGGAAAACCAAGAAATCGTGACATATGTGAAAGCAATTCGAAGATCATCCTGCAAGAGGTTCTCATTGCTTCGAAATAGGAGCACAGTTGCCCACCTCTACTTAGGGAAAGAAGAGGGACTCAGTAGGCTTGTTTCCAAACCTCAACTAGATGAGAATTTTAAAGACATGCGACGTGACACCTTGGCACAACTTTGGCGAAATGGAAATATATTTAAAACACAGGCGATTATCAAACGTCTTCATCGAGTCGTTGGAACCATCGAGCAAGGAGAGGTGTTCGCCAATTACAGAAAACTGAAAATCCCTGTGCGTCCAGCTCTCATTGCTGGTACAAGAAGTGGTTGCAGCACAGAAAAGGTTTCTTTCTACCTTGGCTTTGCTATTGATGGACCCCTTGCTTATGACATTCAGTATGAAAACTAGGGTAAGGGACTGTAAATAACAAAGTGCAAATTGCACAAGTGCAGCAAAAGTGCAAAGACAATTTTTAGGTTTGAAATATAGGCGTGACAGCCAGTGAATCACTGTGATGGATTCCAAACACACCTCATAAAAGCACATGAGCTAATTATAAACAAGACAGATTGAAGACGTGCCAATCCTGTCGCCCATGCATATTTGATTTTGTATTCACTTTGTGACATTTAAGCTTTTAAAAACATGTGTTGTCTATTTTATGATGAGTTTTTATTATTTGTTTTTGTTGTTGCTTGTTTCAGGTGTGGCAAACTGTCTCATCTTAATTCCTACTCTCTCTTAAGCGTATTTAATTTTGTACAAACAAGTGCAACACAAGCACTGATGCATACATTTTACAGCATGAAAAAAAGTGACAGACAGTGATTCACTTTGCTGGAATTTTAAATACACCCCATAAAGAGAACTGGTGCAACCGGTGAGACAGTTTGCAATGTAAAAAAGTAATCCTGTTGCTCTAATAGCTTATGCATATCTTTTTTTTATTACTTATTTTATTTTATCTTCATTTTACGTCATTTCATATTTTAAAGTCTTATCTTTACTCTTACTAGTTATCATTAAATGTGGCAGAGACAGATTTCACAGTCAAAAGGATTTTTATGTCACATTAAGATAATGTCATTACATTTTTTTTAAACATTTGTTATGTAATTTATAATGAGTTTATTATATATTTTAAGTCTGTTAAAGTTGTGGCAAAGTGTCTGTTGAAATGCAGAGTTAAATGCCTGGCCCTGCAGCTCTAGCTACAGTGCCCTTTCCCACCTATCTTGTTCAGACTGTTCAGTTTGATCAGAACCATTACAGGTGTGAAACCCACCAACAGTTGTGTAGTGGATTTGTAGTTTGTCACAATGTTGTTAAAACATTATTTTGTTTCCATAGGCAATGTTTTTCATTTTCTTTTGTAATTTGTACTTTGAATGATTTCTGTTGTGTATTGTGTTGTGTTTACTTTCTTAGCATTACTGAATACCTATGTTGCAGAATCCGAAATATCTCTCTCTCTTGCTGAAGAATTTTTGGGAATGAAAATGATGCATTGGAGAGAAGACAGTGTACTGGACAGAATGAAGCCATATTCCAACTTTCTCATTGTACACAAGGTTGAAGACTGGGGAGGATATAAAGCAATCCCTATCCTTCATCCGGCCATTGCATCTGCCTGTCTGGAAGAGTTAGAGAGAAGCTTCTCTTTAAAAGTGAGCGATATTACTATGGAGGTTCTTCACTGTGATCTCTTCTTCAGTGTTGGAGTTGCCAAACACAGATTGTCAATTCATCAAATGGTGATTGAAAGGCAGCGCAACAAAGATGAGAGAGGACGATTTTCATCTCTCATAGACAAAGTCCACAGTCAGCAAGGAAGACAAACTGTCCAAGAAATATTTGTGAAAGCATCATCCAGGTTTGAAACAAGTGCATATATTCCTCAGGCCTTGGCAAGATATTTGTACATCAAGGAATCTGACTTCCCAGAGGCTCTGAAATGGGCAGAAAAGGCCAAGAACATCAATGAAAACTCATACACATTCGACACAATTGGGCAGGTTCACAAAAGTCTTTTAAAATCTAACAACAACAGAGAAAAGCAGGAAACATCACACAATCCAGAAGACTTAAACACAAACGTAAAAAAAGCGGAGAATGCCATCAGAGCGTTTAAAAGCGCTCAAGAGCTGGCAAACACAGAGAATGACCCTGAGGATAAAGCTGCTGCTGATGAGTCGGGTGACTTTCCCAGAAAGTCATATAATGTTAACGGCTATGTGGGTGTGCTGGAAATTGCCTTCATAGTCTCTGAGATATTATGCAGATTGCCGTTCTTTGAGGAAAGAGATCCAATGAAGAAGAAGTACTTCCAGAGTTACCTGCAAAAAGTAATCCCAATCACCAGCGTGCATAAGGATGACAATGACATCAACAACAGATATGTGGAGATCATCAAAGAACATGAGCAGTTTCTCCTTGGTTTGAAAACTGAAGTTAAAGACACATTTGATCATCTTAGCTTTTACTTCACATGTATTAAAGGAAACAACTCCGAATTTGATTCAAAGAATCGTTGGACCGTCAGTGGGTTTTTTAAAGACTTTGTAAATCTTTTTTGCACTGCAACTGATGAAATGCAAAAAGAACGACTAAGCAATCCTAATCTCAATTTGAAAAGAAATATTGAAGAACGAAGATTGATTCTTGAAGTGAAACATGCAGATACATTCACAGGGATTCTTCAGCATCTGGACAAGCCTGCCGAAGAGATTGAGGAGATCACAGCATGCTATGCATTCTTGCAACAAAAACAGCAATTCTTCAATAAAAAACAACAGACAAAGGAAACTATCAATTACATTATGTCGAAGATAGTTCTTTACCTTTTGAAACCAAAATCTAAGCATGTAAAGACACTCAACCACCTTTCTGATCTGCTTTTGAAAACTCTGACAGATGTAGGATCTGGGTATCCCTTCCCAGACCCATACTATCTGGCTTTGCTGCTGTTCTGGCCAAGTTCTACTCAGGAAAACCAAGAAATCGTGAGATATGTGAAAGCAATTCGAAGATCATCCTGCAAGAGGTTCTCATTGCTTCGAAAGAGGAGCACAGTTGCCCACCTCTACTTAGGGAAAGAAGAGGGACTCAGTAGGCTTGTTTCCAAACCTCAACTAGATGAGAATTTTAAAAAAATGCGACGTGACACCTTGCCACAACTTTGGCGAAATGGAAATATATTTAAAACACAGGCGATTATCAAACGTCTTCATCGAGTCGTTGGAACCATTGAGCAAGGAGAGGTGTTCGCCATTTACAGAAAACTGAAAATCCCTGTGCGTCCAGCTCTCATTGCTGGTACAAGAAGTGGTTGCAGCACAGAAAAGGTTTCTTTCTACCTTGGCTTTGCTATTGATGGACCCCTTGCTTATGACATTCAGTATGAAAACTAGGGTAAGGGACTGTAAATAACAAAGTGCAAATTGCACAAGTGCAGCAAAAGTGCCAAGACAATTGTTAGGTTTGAAATATGGGCGTGACAGCCACTGAATCACTGTGATGGATTCCAAACACACCTCATAAAAGCACATGAGCAAATTATAAATAAGACAGATTGAAGGTACACGTGCCAATCCTGTAGCTCATGCATATTTCATTTTAAAAAAGTAATCCTGTTGCTCTAATGGCTTATGCATATCTTTTTTTATTACTTATTTTATTTTATCTTCATTTTACGTCATTTCATATTTTAAAGTCTTATCTTTACTCTTACTAGTTATCATTAAATGTGTCAGAGACAGATTTCACAGTCAAAAGGCTTTTTATGTCACATTAAGATAATGTCATTACATTTTTTTAAACATTTGTTATGTAATTTATAATGAGTTTTTTATATATTTTAAGTCTTTTAAAGTTGTGGCAAAGTGTCTGTTGAAATGCAGAGTTAAATGCCTGGCCCTGCAGCTCTAGCTACAGTGCCCTTTCCCACCTATCTTGTTCAGACTGTTCAGTTTGATCAGAACCATTACAGGTGTGAAACCCACCAACAGTTGTGTAGTGGATTTGTAGTTTGTCACAATGTTGTTAAAACATTATTTTGTTTCCATAGGCAATGTTTTTCATTTTCTTTTGTAATTTATACTTTGAATTATTTCTGTTGTGTATTGTGTTGTGTTGTAATTTATTTTACATTTGTGTTGCCTCTTGGATTTGTAGTGATTGGTAGGTCTACCTATTTGCTTGAACAGAGTTCATATTTAATTGTTTTAATGTATATTTGTAGTGAGGCACAATCTGATCCACTTGTTTTTTTCATTTAAAATGTTGTCATTGAATTTGCTTTCTTTTGTATCCAGTCACATTTTGGAGGACATCTTTCTTTATGGAGGCTTAAAGTATCAAGGATTTATATTGGTGCCACTCAATTGGTTTGTGATTGGTATATTAACTTTGAGGTCAAAATTATAAAAATGATTCTGAATGTAATATACTGTAAAGTCAGTAAGAACACATGAGTAGTTGAGAAAAATGATAAATACGTTTTATTTGACGTGTCTGTGCATATTTACATTGTGCCATTAGTCAGAGCCACCCTAGTCAAAAAACTGGACATGCCACTGAAATGTATACAATCATAAACGTTGCATTACAAACAATCATATCTTGTGTATCTGTTTAATTGTTTTTTGTAGAATTAAATAATTGTAACCCTGACTTAATTGTAACCCTGTCAACAGTTTATTACTGTGGGCTGTGATCAAGTTCTAAAATATACTTTACATATCTAAGGCCATTAAGAATTCATTTAAATTTCACCAGGAGACTATTCCAATTCAAACACTGAGCAAGTGCATTGAACAAATCAATGACTGGATGTGTCAGAACTTTCTCCAATTAAACAAAGATAAAACTGAGGAAATGGTTTTTGGAGCCAAGGCAGAACGTATAAAAGTTAGTGCTGAGCTTCAGTCTGCAATGTTCAAAACAACAGATAAAGCCAGAAATCTAGGTGTAGTCATGGACTCTGACCTGAGTTTCAACAGTCACATTAAAACAGTTACTAAATCAGCCTACTATCACCTAAAGAATATATCCAGGATTAAAAGACTAATGTCACAGCAGGATTTGGAAAAACTTGTCCATGCTTTTATCTTCAGTAGACTGGACTACTGTAATGGTGTCTTCACAGGTCTCACTAAAAAATCTATTAGAAAGCTTCAGCTAATTCAGAACACTGCTGCTCGAGTCCTCACTAACACTAAGAAAGTGGATCACATCACTCCAGTTCTGAAGTCTTTACACTGGCTTCCTGTGTGTCAAAGAATAGATTTCAAAAATATTGCTGCTGGTTTATAAAGCTTTGAATGGTTTAGGCCCAAAATACATTTCTGACCTAATACTAAATTATGAACCATCCAGATCTCTCGGGTCTTCAGGGACTGGTCAGCTTTCTGTCCCTAGAGTCAGAACTAAACATGGTAAAGCAGCGTTCAGTTATTATGCTCCAAATATCTGAAACAAACTACCAGAAACCTGCCAGTCCGCTGCAACTCTTACGGTACATCCACACAGCAGCGTTAAAAAAATCTTCCAACGCTTCTGCCCATTCACTTTGAATGGGGTGACATCACTTTGCCTCACTTTTCGCCGAACTGCATTGTGGGAAGCAGAGCGGAGCTTTCCAGGCATCTCAGGCTTCAAAAGTTGAGCAATGTTCAACTTTTGAAGCTTCTGAAGCTTTCGGTGGAAACGTCAGCCAATCAAATCATATGCCAGTACAAGCTCTAGCCAATCAAACCGCTGCTTGTGTCTCAGGGGCGGGAGATTCATGTGATTTGTTGTTGGTCGAGCTTCAGACACGCCCGCCGGCAAGCTTTTTCCAAAAATGTGTGTGCCGTTATGGCCCGTCCACACGGCGGCGTGCGTTGACTCTTCAACGCTTCTGTCCATTCACTTTGAATGGGGTGACGTCACGCTTCGCCAAACTGCATTGTGGGAGCGTCGCTACGCGTTGCTCGCGGTGCTCGCTGCAAAAGTTGAGCAATGTTCAACTTTTGAAGCTTCGACGGAGGCGTCAGCCAATCAAATCCCGCTTATGCAAATCTGACAGTACAAGCGCTAGCCAATCAAACCGCGTGTATGCTGGGAGAGCCATACCGCAGGTCATTTCCTCATGTTCCAAAAAATGGAGGATAAAATAATAATAGCAGTAGGGAATCACCCGGTCCTATACGACCAGTCCCTCTTTATCTACCGGGATACAAACCGGAGGAGCCAGGCATGGAGGGAGGTGGCAGAGACAGTGGTAGGTTTTCGCCTGTTTGGGGAGTTTATATCCAGTTTACTTCGGGCTTTTTTGCTTCGTATGTCGGGGGCGGGAGATTCATGTGATTGGTTGTTGGTCGCGTTGCTCGCGAGAAATCCCCAAGCTTCACACACGCCCACCGCCAAGCTTCAACGCACGCCGCCGTGTGGACGGGCCGTTACTAGGCCTACTTTTAAATCCAGGCTGAAGACTTTTCGTTTTGCCGCTGCTTTTAATTGAACTATTCACATCTTAAACTGCACTGTAACTTTTATTCATGTATTTTTTCTTTTAATGTTTATTTTATTATCTTTGCTTTTTAATGACTGATTTTAAATGCCATTTTCAGGGTTGGGTTGTAACGGAATACATGTAACGGCGTTACGTAATCAGAATACAAAAATCAAGTAACTGTATTCAGCTCGCGTTACATTTGAAAAACGAGTAATCTGATTACAGTTACTTTCGTAAACCTGAAGTGAATACATTTTGGATTACTTATTGGAATTATTGGTGGAAAGATTTCCTCACAACATTTAATAGTCATTACTAAAGGTACAGCCGAATCATCACAGCGCACAAAACCTATTACCGCCGCAGATGGACCAAAAAAGGGTGCGTTTGAAAAAAATGTGCGGGTCCGCTCAGTGAAATAATAACAACGAAACATGGAGGAACACAAGTCTGCGTTTAAATCGTGTGTGTGTGTGTGTGTGTGTGTGTGTGTGTGTGTGTGTGTGTGTGTGTGTGTGTGTGTGTGTGTGTGTGTGTGTGTGTGTGTGTGTGTGTGTGTGTATGTGTGTGTGTGTGTGTGTGTGTGTGTGTGTAGAGGTGTGTGTGGTTAAAACACATCAGCCTGCGGTCGCTCATTAGCCTTTCTAATGATTCTGAAGGTAAACACAGTGAAGGCGGTGCGTGAAAGGCACTGCGCGCTCCTCTTCTCAGAGGCTGAGTTAACCCTCCCGCTGCCTCCTGGTGCTGCAGAGATTTCATGAAGTGAAGGAGGTTTTCCTTCTATAAAACAGCTGCGGGCAGCACATACTGTGAGTGTCACGGACATGAATGATCAAGGCAGACTGGTGCACACACTCTCCTGTTTTGCCGATCCGGTGCTTAAACAAATATAGCTCTACACCCCTGGCTGAAATGTCCTTAAAATGAAGTCCGAGTTCGACATTTTAATTCACGTCCTGCCAACACTGGCAGGACAGAAGGCAACACGCCCGTTCTAAGCCGTGTCCCTCACTCCTCACATCCCAAGCTGCATCCCCAAAAAGTGTATTATGTTGTTACATCGTTTCAGATGTTATGTTTCAGTTGTGCTCTTGATAAGCCATTAAAACAGTAAAAACACGTTCAGTTTCCTTTTGCTTTTTGTGTCTCCTGTTCACCAAAACATACCCATCTGTGATGGAAAAAGAAAGTAATCCAAAAGTAATCTAAAAGTAATCTGATTACGTTACTTTTTTAAGACACGTAACTGTAACTGTATTCGGATTACTTTCAGAGCCATGTATTCAGTAATCAGTAACTGATTACATTTACAAAGTAACCCTCCCAACCCTGGCCATTTTCTTAATGTCTTTCATTTTTTGTAAAGCACTTTGAATTGCCTTGTGTTGAAAGGTGCTATATAAATAAACTTGCCTTGCCTTGCCTAAATGTATAACCTCTATATTTATTCTTGCAGTCTTTGGAAAGTAATCAGTTGAGAGCGCGTGCAGCGGTCTGCTTGCGCACGTATACAGGAGTTTGTGAGAGGGCTTAGAGTCAATTTCTCTTCAAAATATAATTGATGTGCTTGCAAAATATATTTTTCTGTGCTCAGAAATGTTCAATTGCGCGCTCAATAACATTTTCTACACACTTTTTCGGCTTGTCATTTGCATCACGTGTATGCAGATCTGGAAAATGAGATGCAAGATGATATTAAATCAGACAATAATAAACAGTGACACCATCGTGAAACAAATACTTACCGAACTAAGTAGAAGAAGATCCCTGGACAAATCACAGACTCAGCCATGGGGCATATTGAGTCTGTGACCGAACTGAGTCTCACTGGAATATAAACGTTCTGCTCTTTGTTTAGGTTATTTATATATATATATATTAATGCATTGTGTGTTTTGTGTATTATCAATGTCATTTTTGTATATTATGTACTGCTCAAACAATTTAAAATAAAGTTTTCAAAAATAAAAGTAAACAGAAGGACAGAATTACGTCTAAACTGACGCCGTTTTGCATTTCAATACTGTATATGACTCATCATGCAAAAATCTTATGTTTTATAATGGTTTTAAACATACTGCAGAGCTATGCTTAACCCACACACTAAACATGCAGGATTTGTACCATTATCTGTGCAGTATGGTGAATAATTTCAACCTGTTAGCCTACAGCATTTAATATGACAAGCACTTGTAGGATATCAGTGTAACGGGAATTAAATTCAATGCAGACATGGGAAGGCAGCCAGACGTTATCTGGTATTGTGCCATCCATTTACATTGCAGACATCAAGGGCATTATGGATCACTGGCCAGCAGTCTGCTCCTGTCTGAGGCACAATGATGTCCATTAAGCATACAGCGTTTCAATCGGCAGCAACTGTGCGTGACCACAGTACATGATCTGACTTATGCTTATGCTTCATGAAGCCTACATGAAATGATGATATCAGGACAGAGAGGGTCTGGCAAGTGCAAAGAAGTGCATGACTCAAGGGATAATATATTTGAGCACTTTACATTAAATGCCAAACAGAAGGATTAAATGGAAGGTTTTTTTCCGACAGCACAACATGTACACAAAACGTCACATCTTTTAGTTGCCTTGTCACCCTGTAATTCTATGAGATTACTTCTAGGTTATCAGGGAAGGATGTTCCCAGTCCCTGTAAAAGTTTATAGATGTGAGGTTTTTATCTTAACACCAACAACTAAACATGCACTTCCTTGCCAACCAATCACATCAAAGCCAGGCATACTGTATCCAATCCAGCTGTGAGGTGAGAGCTCCCAGATGTTGCTGCTGCAGTGCTGTTATGTAAATGAGTGAAACTCAGAGATTACCCTGACAGTCACATGGGCAGGGCTGTTGGGATCATGGCTCACACTCAAACGCAGACAGATAGCGGATTACCCATAGGATTTGCAGAGTAAAGCTGTCTTTTTAAGATGAGTTGGGACATTTCAGATATAGTTGAAAAAACCCAAAAGGCCTTGGCTATTGTATGTGAAAGATGAGTGGGATTGCAACAAAAGATGTTGTGCAGAGTCAGTGCCTTACTGCGCTGACTCATAGAGTAACCTAAAGCATTTCAATCCTGGAGATAAATGTGTGTTGGTGGTGTTTGGCTCAGTTTCACTGTTTTTGCCTGTTTAAAAAAATGCTTTTATAATGGGGTTGGGGTTCATGTGGGGTTGAGTTGAATCACTCAAGCATCGAGGCTGAGGTTCTTAATGTTTGTTTTAATATATACAGTATGTATGTTTCTTGGAGTGTTTTGACATAGCATATTTTATACACTTGTAGAAATGTGTTGTGTTAAATAACAACACAAGAGAAATCTATTACAAAGATAGGAGACATGTAAACAAATATTTGCACCACCCCAACATAGAAAGCCATAATACATTGCAACTGATATCAATTAATTTATTTTCAAAATGTACCTAAACATATGATCCAAGGTGACTCGAAAGTGAAAAGGTCTGTACATTACACACACACAAAACACACAGAAACACATACACACATATCAAGAGTAGTTTGAACTGACATGTTTCACTCCAAATCGCAAAACTCTGTTGTTGAGATGTTTAAGATAATATACAATTTGTTTGATTAGAATGCTATTTTAAAATTATAATATTACTTATTGAACTATAGATTTATACCATAATCATTTAAAGTAAAACACCCCACTTGGCACTGACCCAACTTTGAGATTCACTGCCTTATTGGGCAAATGAGAGGTTTGGAAATTATTCAAATACATTTGTGTGATTACTTTTTCATTCAGGAGGCTCGATAAAGAGAGAAAAGCACTTTACTACTGGGCAGCTGCAGATATTCTGCACCAAATATAGCTGCTGAAACACACTGATTACACACGATCATTACCATTTGCTTTTTCTTGCTATTGATCACTGCAGAATCCCTTCAGTGTTTTCAATCATATACAACAATCAATTTAGAAAGCATGCAGTCTTGTCAAACCTTGCATGTTATTGAGACATGCTGACGTCATCCTCCCTTGCGTGTAATTATTTATTGTATATACATTATTGACTGATTTGGAGGAACTGCAGCTACGCCTTGGAGAAGGGAGGGGACATGAATGGATTAATCACTGGAGAGAGCCAGTTACACAAGGATAACCTCACTTTATGTGAGATGCTTTACAATAGAAATTCTGGGAAAACAGGGGGACGGGACAGCCATGCTGAAAGTTTAAGGAGAAGAGTATACACATGCTTTATCCAGATAAAAAAATCATTTTTTGTAGTACGCTACCATTTTATTTTTTGTTCTACGTTTTTATAATGTTTCATCCTGAAAAGGAGCCACACAATCAATCAGAGAAAATGAGCAAGGGAATTCATGTGAAAGGAAAAGTTTTTTAGGTCATGTTCGGTTAGGGCTTGCTGCAGGAGATGAAAAACGAATTCCCTCTGGCTTAAGATATCCAAAGCACATTTAGAGAGAGCAAATCCACTTTAAGTCTTCGCTCTATTGGCTTTATGTCAAATAATATTCAACAACTTGAAAAAGTGCTTAGTATGCAATCTAGATATGACTCAGGGCCTTGCATTATCACTATTTGATGTATGCAGTATGATGTTTCCATTGCAGTGAACACTGCAATTCATTAGTGACACTGCAATACAGTACATATATATATATATATATATATATATATATATATATATATATATATATATGATGAATCTTCAGGGCATTTCAGAACAGTATGAAGGAGGAGACAAACGTTCACTTAACATACTCATGTCTGATGAGAATTTCTCATCTTCAGATGTTGTAATTACAAGGCCAAACTACTTGCTTGGAGACCCACGGACAAAACAAATGTACAGGGTTTCATTAGCGATTAGATATATCATCAATATCAGATTATATAATGAAGTTTATATAATTTGTTTTGCCCCTATACAAGACATGGCCTTGATATACCTTTATCTCAGTGCAGAAATGTTTACATAAGAAAAGCACAGATGTTAATAATTGACATTAACATGAGATTTCAACATGGCACATTATTATCGCACCTAATTAAATCCTTTGAGATTTCTAAGTATATATTTTTATATTACAAAACAAAATTGCAATTAAATGACCCAAACCAATTCCCAAACTGACTTAAGGGCATTTGCCTGCCTATTTAGTTATCCAGCCTAATCTTAACCTATATAGATAATATATCATGTCTATATGTTTAATTAAATGATACTTGTAGTTTTACATGAAGTCTTTTCTCTCTGTCTTTCCTCTCATCCATCACCTGTGAGTGCAGACAGGCAGGGGGCGTAGAGAGGCCGCTAGAGAGCAGCCAGAGTCTGCAATGAGCTGAGAGCTGGCAGGGGGAACTGGTCGTGGCAGAGCAGAGATGTAGTGCAGCTCTCTGGGACTCCGTGGCCAGCCGATCACTCTCACCGGGGAACATTTGTCCGACATTACCGCGGAATAGGAATGACCGGATTACCTTTTTTGCACACCTATACTGCATGAATGTGTCGCGTAATGCGGCCGAGGAGAGCTGCCTTTGGGGGGAAATATTTATGTTTCGGGACGGTTTTGTTGGAGTAGCTAGTTGCTAGCGCTGGGCTAGCGACTGTGCTGTCTACTTCCTAACGTATTTGTTAAGATGCTTCGGTGGATACGACAACAGCTGGTAAACCTGCTCTCCTACCTTTCTTTTTAAGCTAGTCCTCATTAGCCCACAGCAGTGCTCGTCTAATGCAATTCGTAGCTCACGGAAACATGTATAAACTTTATTTGGGTAACATTTAGCAAGCTAACCTAGCGATATAGCTGTTGCCGATGTGTCCAAAACAATGTTGTGTTGGTCTCGCTGTGATGACAGTCAGGTGTAGGTAATGTTAGCTACCTTCCTAGTTAGCTCCGGTTAATTAGCTGAAATTGTGTTACTAAACTAATGTTCATGTTAAAACTTAAACAGCAAATCCACTGGGATACGCTTAAAGTGCACTTCTGAGTTCATTTGAAGTTTGTTACCATTTTTAACACAGACTTATTTTAATAATAAACACAAGAGTTAAAGCTAGCTAAGTGGCTAACGATGTCAAACTTGGCAAAGTTTAACTGCTAACTAACCTTCAAGTGGGTTAAACTTAAATATTAACGTTTACTCACCATTAATACACTTAGAATGGCTTATTATTTCTAAATAGAGCTGATAAACGTGTAACAGCTGTTCACATAGTAGTTTCAACTCACAAGCAAAAACAAAAAAAAGTTAGCGTTTCTTATATTAACTTTAACGACATCTTTGGATCGGCGGTGTGTTTTTAATTAACTTCATAGTGTACATCTGTATGGACTGGAAAACATGAACAGTAACTTAACGATCTCGGGAGTATCATTTGTTTAGAGAGCATCCTGTATTTGCTGTCATCACCTGTTGTTTGCCTACAAACATGGCTGTGTGGTGACGCCACGCCTCGATAGGCAAAGGCACAGGTAGTGCCGATAAACGTCCGAAATGATCCATGAGAGCCCTGCCTGATCCAGGTTTAAAACAATACGAGCAGCACAGAGTGATTTACATGTCAATAGTTTAATTTCGCTGGAGGAATGAATAATGTGTGTTTCAATCATGCTGCAATGACACAATGAACTTTATATTGTTTTAGTATGTTTGTCAGAGTAAACTTAGGATAAGAACCTGCCTTGACTCTAATGAAAGTCGTGTGACTGTTAGTTTGGGTGTGTGAGCATGTGAGCGGGCATGCCCATGTGAATGAATGAAATGGGATTAGTCATGACATTGGTCCAACTGTTGATGTCACCACAGACAGTGAGTTTAATCAATGTTATAGTGTGTCTGAGCTCCCATTCCTTAGTCCCTGAGTTCACCCTGTACTTAAGTTGGGTTAGAGTGACACTTGCTTAGCTGCAAGTTGGTAAATCTTTTCTTTCCACTAATAGAGGTTAATTTTTGTCTTTTTCGAAGAGCACCTCAGAGAGTTAAACTCCATAAAAATAGTAGCCTCCTCCTAATTTGCGATAACTCTGTTCATTTGACCCATCCCATCCCACATAATTGACCTGCCTATTTAATTAAAAGTGTAATTAAAATGCAACTAACCTAATGAAAAAGTTTGTCAGGGGGCATTTGTCTGACCTTTATATCAGTTGGAAGGTACTGCAGGGATAGTCATTCCCTCATATGCTCCTTATCAGTGTCTTGCTGGTGACATAAAGCAGAAAAGAGGAAGAGATGAGGGTGAGTCCTAATGGGCAGTATGACAGGCTTTTAATATCCCTCTTCTCCCACCAGCAGTGCTGACATCATGCTAGTAATGCATTCATAACATATAAGACTAACTCAAATTACAGTGCAAGCAACTTAGAAGACCTTTTGACATCCTGTTCTGCAAGTATCACAAAGGAACCTTTTGTGCTAGTCACTATTTCCTATAGGGAGTCACTATATATTATTCCTGTCCGTTGCCCAACGCAGACAAAACGTTCTTTTCCTAACTTTAGATTTCCCATAGGCATACTCTAATGTAAAGCTTGTCTTTGGCATGGCTTGCGAGTGATAAGGGATTTTGGATATTGCTTCAATGCACCAAGAGAGGAGGGCTTTGAACATCAAATCAAATCAAATCAAGTTTTATTTATAAAGCACATTTAAAAGCGATTTTTGGTCGAGCCAAAGTGCTGTACATGTAATAAAAACACATTACTACAATCACAATAAAAGACAATAAATTACAACAGATATATATAAAAAAACATAGTCATTGCTTGGTAATGCAGACCAATGTTTTCATGATGTTATTTTAGAAAAACAAAAGAAAACTAGCGGTTATAAAATGCTCACTGATGCATTACTTATATCAGGTCTCCGTGTCTGCAAGTTTATATGAGGAAAATGATAATAAACTTTCTGTGTGTGTGTGATGTAAATGTCAGTTGGTATTTGTAACATACCATTATATACTATGCATCTTAGCCCTTTGAGCTAACAGAATATCCAACACACTTACATTCGTGCTCAGGATCACATTTGGACATGTTCCAGCAACCCTAATAATCCAAAATCTGAAGTAGAAAAACATTTGAATATTGACTGGCCCATGCCACCTTTGATACAATTGTTTAATTCCATATCATCTGTAGCTCTTAAGGCTATCCATGTCATGCCACATGTTGTTAGATATCTTTCTGTCATGCCTGTGGTCATGTTGTTAGCTCTTGTCATAAGTAATACGGTCAAAAGCAGCACCTCACCGCATCTGACTGCAAACATCCCTCTGTAGCTCTCGCTCTTCCTCTTTGTGCTGCAGCTCTTACTGCGACTTCCTCTCTCCCTCTTTACATCTCTGATTAGGCTTTTGATTAAAGGCCTCTTAATCTACGATACGCCTCAATGCTCTGCAGTGGTTCTGAAGTATTAGGCTTTGCAATGCAAGAATTCCCAAAAGGCTTTATGCAAGGTGTAATTACCTGTCTGCCTTCAAATTGATGGGGGCACGAGAGTCAGGGATAAAATAAAAAGTCTGATTTTAAGAGGGTTTACTAGAAAGCTACATTAAAATGATTGCTGTATTGTCAGTATTATTTATTTTTATATATATATTGTCATTGCAATAAAAATGACAAAGAGGCCTGTTATTTTGTGTAAGTTTATAGCAAATTAGGACACTTAAACTTCTAAAGTTTAGTTGGAAAAGGTCTGATATACCTTTTATTTAACTTCTTACTGGTAATAAATATAAGCCTGGTTGCACAGTCTGTAAGCTTTAAAATCAATGTCTAACTTGTTATATCCATCTTCACTGTTTTGATTAGTATAAGTATTTGGGGGAATCAAAAATGGCTTGTACACCTCATTGCTTGTACTTAATGAAACGGATAGGTTAAGTGCCAGTCGTACCTATCCATCAGCCAGGTTATGACCTCAGCTCTATGCAGTTTTCAGACATTTCTACTCAATAATTTCCACCTAGAGAGGTTGTACCAAAGTACTGAATCTAGCACTAGCAGAGTTCATGTTAGGTCTCTGGCTCATCATCACTGCTGCTCATTGAACATTTGATGGTGTTCAAGATCGTCTGAAAGTTTAACATACATACATACATGTACATCCTCTGTTGATAATATACATATTAATATACATATTATCAACAGAGGCAAACACAAAAGTAATAGCCTGCTTTGAATTGAATGAAAATATAATGACCATATTGGGACCAGGTTGCCGTAGTCGTGCATCGGAGGTTTCAAGGTTTCAAGGTTTCAAGGCTTTTATTGTCATGTGTGCATAGCTACAGCGTAGTTATGACAATGACAATCTTAGGTCACAGTGCAACACAATGAGGTGTATATATTGTAGATATCTGAATCTAGTGAATGGATGCGGTTTTGGCTGTATGTATAGTGAGTCATGTTGTTGTTTTCTGAGATAAATGATAGCATGCATGTCTTGGGAATGAGCAATATGCTCAATTGATTGTCTCTATGTTTTCCCCATTTTAAAGTCCTATGTTTTGGTGATTTCAATGCCTCTTTAAGGAAAACATCGCAGTTTACCTGTAAAAGTTAAATGCAGTTTGGCAAAACGGACTGCTAAATAAAGTTTCTTGTCCCTCAGCCCAATGGCTAGTGAATGTTCAACCAGCCAATCAATAGATTATCATTGTATTTTCGTCTGGTGAGTGATGCAAATATACTATCGATTAGCATATTACAACAGCATTTAGCCTTCATTATATACAGGCAATGTGAGACCTATTTGCCTAATGAAGCGATTAATTGTGAAGCATTATTGTATTTGATATATGCAGCGTGAGGAACATGTTGTATGGTTGTTGTGACAGAAAGATTGGCTCTGGACTAATTAGAGTGTTTTATGGTATATGTATGGTCACACCAGGATACAAGACACTGCATGTCATTTACTGTCAGGCTGTTTGAGATCTTTCAGCGCAAATCTGAAAAAAGAAGCTGCATTAGACGTTAGCCTTTTCGATCGTGCATATATCTTTGTTGGTGGTGATAGAGAACAGAAGAAAAGTAGCAAAGGCGAAGCTAGCCAATGGAAACAATTTGTCATCTTAACCAATTCTTGTCTTGTTCTATAGATCTATGAACTTCAATTACCATGGATGTAATCCATCCTCTGTATGTTCACTTGCAAGTTCAACAAGATGAACCAAAAACTCAAGCTAATCGTTTTTTTCACTGTGAAGCCCCACACTAAAGCACGGACAATAATTACTTTATTATGCATTGCAGTGTGTTCAAAACCTTTGGAAGAGGTGCTTCCCTTAATTTCACAAGGCCACATCTTTGTTACAGTTACACCTGGCTGTTAGGTATTTACTCAGCCAGCAGTAAAGATAACCAAAGCTATTGTGTGCAAAGATATTAATGATTAAGCAACACAACTGATGGTTGATTTATGTGGTGGTGTGCTAATCTCCGACTACTGAGACTGTCTGAAAACCTGGGAGGAGAGTAAGAAAAAACGCCCTCCTACAACCACTAGGTCCTTGCTGTAGTCATGTCAAAGTTGTGTTGACTCACTGGTTTACTGTCCTAAGGTGCACAATTATCATAATCGCTCTCCTTGTTGATCAATGTCAGTGACTCAACAGTTACTGTGTGAGATGTAGCCATTTATGGCTTACAAAGTTCACTTCCTGTCAGTGTCTGCAATTACTGTGTCATATACTGTAGGTTGTTTTGCTATTCTGTGACACTTAATATCTGTTAAGTGTAAACTAAGAAACATTAGAGTTTGCTTATTCCACTCAAAATGTGTTAAATCCATGTTAGTGTGCAGCTTTTTTTCTGACAGGTGTGGCCTTTCAAAGTGCATATTAAACAGCAATTATATATGCAGTTTTAACACAATGTCACAAAAACTGAAGCCGGAAAAAAAAGACGTTTTATTTTTAGTTCAATGTGACCACCTCGTGGGAAATGCCTAGCAGCCGGTGTTAACAAACAGTGGTGTTATTTGGTAGATTTCTATTTCCCCAGCAGTGAAGTCAAGTTTTAGGGAAGCTCTAAACTATGAATACAGTACTTTGTGGGCACTTTCATTGTGAGTCTGGATGTTCCTTTAAATGTTTTTAATAGTCGCACTGAGAAGGTTAAAAAAGGCTTAATCATCTCCTAAAAATGTGTGAGGTTTTGTTATTCACAGTGAGTTTTAAAATGTCACTACACTAGTTACAGTGAGGTTTAAGTATACATGTGGTTTTACTTTGATGATGCACTGGAGGTGTGCATGTCACAAACGACAACACAAGATAATAGCAGCTCTTCCTCTTGAAGCTCAGTGACTGTTTCTGTATATACAGTTTTTCCCTGCAATATTTAAAACTGATACACTGACCCAGTGAATTTATTAAATAATAAACAATATGAAACCAGCAGCAGATGGAGAGCTTGATAGAGTGAAGCAGAAAGTGTGTGTGTGTGTGTGTGTGTGTGTGTGTGTGTGTGTGTGTGTGTGTGTGTGTGTGTGTGTGTGTGTGTGTGTGTGTGTGTGTGTGTGTGTGTGTGTGTGTGTGTGTGTGTGTGTGTGTGTGTGTGTGTGTGTGTGTGTGTGGTGTGTGTGTGTGTGTGTGTGTGTGTGTGTGTGTGTGTGTGTGTGTGTGTGTGTGTGTGTGTGTGTGTGTGTGTGTGTGTGTGTGTGTGTGTGTGTGTGTGTGTGTGTGTGTGTGTGTGTGTGTGTGTGTGTGTGTGTGTGTGTGTGTGTGTGTGTGTGTGTGCTGTGTGTGTGTGACGTCATAGACGTCATAGACGTCATAGAGCAGTTTGCAAGTTATTGTGAGCTTTAACCTTCTTAGAATAGCGTTCGGGTCGAGTATGTGACACAGGACAATACCAGGAAATGATATAAGAACAGACAAGGCAATTGCATGTCATTGTGTTGCTCTGCAGATGAATGTAAACACATTTTTATCAATGATTTTATTGATTTAAAAATGATGGAATTACATTGGCTAATAAAAGTAGTCTACTACGTAGCAATGGTTAGAACTGCAACCATAACAATAGATGTTTTTAAGAGGATCAATTAACTTTATGTCAAGTTCAGAATTATTCCAGCTCCAATTGCTGTGTAACTGAACATTGAGTATGCTATGTTCTCTCGTTAGTATGCATTTTGTACATTTCAGCAACACTGGTTGATGTTTTCTGCCCAGTAATTCTGAATCCTCTTGACATATATTTTCAATTAACTTAAAACACTCCCATAGCCTGCACCGTGTTCGGTTCAGTTTTCACTTCATGGCTGTCTTCTTCAATTTGGCTGATTTCCCTGTCCTCCTGCTTTTTGTCGCTTTTAACCTCTGTTGCCTTTGCTCCCCTCTTGTTCTTGTCCTTCTACTTTCTTTTCTTTACTGGGGACCGTTCATGCACCTTTCAATATAGAATAACAATTATTCAATAAATATTCCAAGGTGATGCTGATGGAGTAGTGTTGTTAAATGTACCCAACCTCTTATTGAGGATTTATATGATTGGACCTGGTCCCAAGAGTCTATGATCAGGGTGTCCTTAGCAACAGAATGTTATACATAGCAGAACATCTGCTACATTAACAATTCAATCAGAAACTGTTTATCTAAGACGTGATATAGATATAGGGATGCATATCGTTGACTTTTTTACGATACCCATACCACTGAACGATACCGATACTCGACCGATACATATCGTGATACTTTCATGTTGCATAAGGGAACAATGGGTTCATCCCGCAATTACTCCCATGAAGCGCTTTATGATATAGTTAACATGTCAAATGAATATTAGAATTAATTGTGGGACTTCAACCTTTTAGTACTGAACAAACAATGAAAAACACGTTTGACAACACAGGCTTGAAGACTGTACATTCCTGTACTCTGATTTGATGTGACAGTAGCAAATGTTTTGAGAGGTTGGATGTGTTGCCGCCTTTCCCAGAAATAAACTTCTTGCAGTGGTTACAGACCCCACCATTCAGACTGGCAGCCACACTTTAGATTTTCGTGCCGACATCGAGCTAATGAAAAAACAAAAGCTAACCGAAAGGCTCAGACGTTCAGGAGGAAGGTGAAGGGCGTTGCTTGGCAATCGAGCCAATCACCGAAGCTTTTGCAAGACGCGCGATCTGATTGGCTGGCGGTTTGGGCGCGAGTTTAAGGATATTACGCCTAACTTTATTAAAAATAAATAAATAAACCGGATCTGATTTCAGTACGGTATACCGTAGCCACCAGTAACCGGTATTTCGGTAATACCGGGAACCGGTATGCACCCATATATATATATATATATATAATATTAATAATAATAATCCTCATAACATTTCCAGTTTTTGATTGCAATTGTCGCATTCCTTGGTAATGTATTGGGTAATAGAGTGTGTGTGAGAGTGAATTGACTAAAACTGATAAATATTTTGCCAAATTCTTTAGTGTAGTTTTGATTACCTTCACCCCATTTGAATTGTACGTGTATTAGGCTATACTGTATGTATTCGAGTAGGGCTATTATTTTATTCTGGATTTAATGAATGTCCTGACCTAAAAATGGTCTCGCTTTCATAGACATATATTGAATTTTTGTCTACTAATTTTTTTTAATTACCAGAAACAAACTTGCTGGTCAAGCATTTTTTACCACCCTAAACATATTATCTGGCTGCTCACTAATGTGCATTTCAAAGGAAACCTAGAGAAACATGCAGTATTATTGGGACCTTTTCATTTTAGTTTGAATATGATTCCATTGATTATCATTGTATTTGTAGTCGTTTCTGTCAATAAACGTACTAAGAGTTGTAAGTAACCAGCTTTCCCTCCTTTTCCCCATATTTTCCGTTTGTTCCTCTTTCCTGCCCCAACCCTCTTCCCTCTCTCTTCTCATGTGTCCTCCCGTCCCTCAGGGCTTTGACCCCCCCCATCAAAGTGACACCAGGACGATTTATGTAGCAAACCGCTTCCCTGAGCATGGCCACTACATACCGCAACGCTTTGCCGACAACAGAATCATCTCCTCCAAGGTACTTAATGTTGATCGAACCACTATTGGTGTTTTCCACATGTTGTTATCACACTACAGGATATTATGTTAGGCAGTCAATGAGATTAATGTACAATTGTCTACATTAGAAAATAAGGTAAGGATGTTGTTCTTGAAAATGTCTTAACTTCTTGAGATGTTTTCTTTATTTTCAAATTCTGTCATAACCACAAAATGTTAGGATTTTTCATTTTAAGCCAAGAGTGCAAATTACATAAGTGATGGAACCACTGTTCACTTATTTATGAGGGCACTGCTTTCTTTTTTTAAGAAACATCAACTATGACATGTTGCATGCTTGAGCAGTGACAGCAACAATGTGTGAAATAAAAAGTGTCACGTACATACACTGCTTTCTTGCAGCTTGACCAGTGTTAAAAAAAGTATCCGGTGCTCTGGAGTGGTGGGAGAGAGATAAGAAGTGAAGCATGATTTATTGATAAGAGGATCAACTTTGATCAAAAATAAACGTTTGTATTTGTGAGGGGATTAGTAGTTCAGATGAAAGATGAACAAAAGGATCATAATCCAAAAAGGCTGCTACCATCAACAGCAGGGATGCATGTCAGTGATAAGGCAGTTGATTCAATGGATGAAAGTAGTGTTTAATGTCTTGGGTTAGAATCAAATTCAATTTAAGTCATGCATTTTAAGTGACAGAATTTGCCCCCCCTAAAAACAAGGTTAGTGTTTCTTCTAACTCTGAACCAAAGTGATGATCTTCACCTTAATGAGGTGAAAGCAGGGTATTAAAAATACATGCAGAAAAACAACATCAGCTATTCATAATCTAATGGTTAATCAAAATGTAAATTTGAAGTCCTTTACCACTTCCCACAATGTTTATGTCAGAAACATAATTGACTGATGCCATGGTACATATTTGTTTCATTTAGAAGAATCAATGTACCTGTTGTTAAAGGAAGGAAGTATGAGAACAATGTGAAAATGTATAAATAAAACAAGTATTTATTCAAATTCAGCATTTTCTGTTGCCTGCTTACATCATATTCATAAATAGAGTAGTTGTATCTGCCTTGTGTATTTGTTTGTATATTTAACTTGTTACTTAGCTCTTTGCATTCAAGAAGGCGGAAAAAGAGTCTCAAATATATCTTTTTGAAACCCACAGATACCCTGCCTAAATAGCATTTGTACTCAAAGTTGTTTTTTTCTTTCTCTTTCAGTACACAGTTTGGAATTTCATCCCTAAGAATCTGTTCGAGCAGTTCAGAAGGATAGCCAACTTCTATTTTCTCATTATCTTCCTTGTACAGGTAATAACACTCACAAACACACCCATAACTCTTTTTTTACAGCTACACGTACTCCCCTCAGATGACAAGTCAAGTGCGACCTTAGTTTCCCTGCCCTGAATTACAAATGTGTGTTTGTCTGTTTGCACACGAGTAAGCTAGTGACTCATAGACTACTAAGGACAAGTATCAGGACAGGTCTGCCTCTGAATTAAAACATTACACCAACACATTAAGTAATATGTGTGTCTTTACATCTACCCGAGGCGTTAGGCCTTCACTCTGCATCAGTCAGCCTGTGCTGAAGTCAGATTTGGCTTTCAAATGTTCAGCCTGCTCCTGATTTATTTGGGCCTGTGTAGTGAAGCCAGAGCAATCGACTTGACTCTGTCTAAAAAGCCTCTCTTTTCACCCACTCACCCGTCAGTGAAGCTGAAGTCAGACTTGTATAAAATCGCTAAGTGGAGGACCTCATCTTGACATTGTGAACATAAAGCTTTTGTTAGATTTTTTAGATGGAGTTCTCAGCTTGGATCATAGTTTATGTAAAACACATTTTGCATAGGGTGTTAACTGACTTTTTCAAACAATACATTACACACAATTTTTCTAAGTTCAAATTTGTCTCACCTCCTACAGTCACTCAATACGAACTCCGTATTGTTCTTTTTTATTATTATGTTTTATATTATGCTTTCAGGTTTGTCGTCCCATTCTTGTAGTCGCGATATCTCGAACATATTCAGGAAATTAAAACATTTGGCACAATGTCCACTTTTGGATAGATTTTGATGGTTGAAGGTCACTTTAACCTCACAACACAAGTGTCTGACGTTAACTCAAGCATTAATATGCTAAATATAAAATAAACACAAATGTCTAGTAGGATATAAGGGCAAAGTGATGACATTTTGGCCGGATATGGATCTAAACTGCACACCACCGTAATTCTGAAACTGAATTTAACAGTTGTAGTTTCCCTTGAAGGAAAAAGGCTTGCACTTGTCTATAGTTGCTAAATATATATTTGTTATGAGGGAAACCATATAAGGACATTGTGCTGTATCTCCTTGTCCTGTGCCTCTCTAAACTATTATAAGCTGATGTTATTAGTTTTTTACTTGTGGCAGAGTGGAACAATATAACCACATACCATAGAACCACAAAGTCCCCGGTTTGAGCACATATCCTTCTCTCTTTTTCTTACGCTCTCCCCTTATTTCATGCCTCTCTATACTATTAACTATTCAATAAAGGCCACAAAACAAAATTGAAAATGTGTTTGTGAATGAATGATTTATGAGTAAAGTAGTACTTTGAGGAAGATTTGTTTAAACATTTGCAGAGAAGGATTAGGGTTAGTGTTGGGACACCTAAACTTTCTAAAATAACAGCTATTCAATGATTCATGTGAGGTTGGGTAATCTGAGTGTCAGCTCGAGTAAATGTTGCCTTTGAAGCTTTTCATATCCCTTTTTGAGTGTGAGTGTGTTTATATCTAAACTGACAGTTAACCTACGAGAATAGGAGGGAAGTTATAGGGATTTCCTGTTTCACACATCTGCCTCTACTTCTTTCTGTTGTCTTTCTAGTTCACTTGTTTTCTCTGATAGGGCACACCCACTTTAACTAAGTCTCTCAATGTTCTACCTGCTGCACCTCAATTAATTATCTTCAAACTTGCCTCTTGTATTTGTCTTTCCAGCTAATGATAGACACCCCAACTTCCCCTGTCACCAGTGGCCTGCCTCTCTTCTTTGTGATCACAGTAACTGCCATAAAACAGGTGAGGAAATCAGCATATGGTTGCTTCCTCTTTATTGGGCTGACAATGTGGAACTAACAAACAGTGCATAACATTAAAGTTAGATCAAATTGTTGACTTGAGATAGCCAACCCATTTCAACTTAGTTTAGTATTCAGTTGAATTCAAATGCATTCCTTTTAGTGTCATTAGCCACAAAATAAAAATACATACAAATATTAAAAAGCTGTTGTTGTTGGTTAAGGATCTCTATTACCTAACCAGTACTGCATTTGGCATTGATATGAAAAGGTGTGTTTAGAATAATTTTCAGTACAGTTGATCAATAATAATAATATTCAACAAATGTATTTTCTAGGGCTACGAGGATTGGCTGAGACACAAGGCAGACAACGAAGTGAACGGGGCTCCAGTGTTTGTGGTTCGCAGTGGATGTCTCGTCCAGACAAAATCCAAGAACATCAGAGTAAGACGGCAAAAACGACACCCTAAAGGAACCTTGTTTATACCAGTCATACAAGTTCAAAGCTTTGCTCTTTGTTTGAGAACAGGACATTACATCTTGTAAAACGTGTTCTTAAAAGCACCTACAAATAGCATTGTTCACAGCTTATAGCCAACAGACATACATACTTCAAGCCTGGCTGTTAAATTCCTGATTCTCGGGGTGTTTATGTAGAGCTGGTCCATATAGAAGTAGAGGATAATGATGTCAATAAAAACAGAACTAATTTGTATATTTGTATAAACTTGGATTTCCATAGTGTTCTTCCTGTTTTTGGCCAGCTACACAATGAATTGTTGTCTGTGTTAATATATAAATAATAAGAAACGGTGGAATCATCACAGAAAACATTAAATGATATTATGAAAATGCAGACTTTGATACAATTCAACACCCGGTTAAAGAAAATGTTGGACACTTAACCAATATTGACTTTGATGTGTGTCCATCCAGGTGGGGGACATTGTCCGAGTGGCTAAAGATGAGACGTTCCCAGCTGACCTGGCGCTGCTGTCTTCAGATCGTGAGGACGGCACCTGTCACATCACCACAGCCAGCCTCGATGGAGAAACCAACCTTAAGGTCTGCTGCGTGATATATTCAATTTGGGAGTATACGTGAGAGTATCAGTTTTTTATTTAAAACTTTAAATAGACAGCCTATTCCTTATACTTGCGTCAGGAACATATATTTTATTTAGTGAACAAGACTGCTGCATATCCACAACCAATCCAGTGATCCAAAATTGCAAAACTCCACTAGCCTACTGATTAGCCTTACAGGTGCGCTTTCCACGTAAAACATTGCCAAAACTATTTTTTAACTTGCAGCCCTCTTCCTCTCTCCCTTGCATTGCTGCGTTTCTGTCGTTACTGCAGATCAGTGGAGTCTTGCAAAACCAACAGCAGGATATAAATCTTGTTGATAACAGGGTTGAGTGCATGCAACCTCATGCCACTCATAAAAACCTGGTTCTTTTTATTGTGATATTATAGGTCTTGAACAGAATTAGAATACTTGATTAATTCCGTGGGGAAATTAGGTTTTGTGAAAGTTGCACAATTTTTTGAATTAAATAAATAAATGTTTATATAAGCATATGAAGTTATAGTAATAATGTGCAATACAAGTCTTGGAAGAGTACCAATATGTTGTGTACCTTTGTGCTCTGAGGCAATGCATCTTCAAGACACATTTTAAAGCTGTTGGATTGGCAGACATCAGGTCACATGACCAATGCCAGTTTGTGTCTGTGCCAGGTGTTTGCATCTCTTAAAAATACACCTTTAAGTTACTCAGATACAATGATATAGTTTCAATTTTTTGCACGTCCTAATTCAGAACATCCTCTCCTTCCCTCACTCTCACCCTCACACCTACAGTCTTGCCAGAGGCCGTGTTGCTTAATTACCTCTCTAACGACATGCTGCTGCTTCTGTTATAGTTTATTTATACAGCATATTGTGCTCTGAGGCAATGCATCTAAAAGACACATTTTAAAGCTGTTGGATTGGCAGACATCAGGTCACATGACCAATGCCAGTTTGTGTCTGTGCCAGGTGTTTGCATCTCTTAAAAATACACCTTTAAGTTACTCAGATACAATGATATAGTTTCAATTTTTTGCACGTCCTAATTCAGAACATCCTCTCCTTCCCTCACTCTCACCCTCACCCTCACACCTACAGTCTTGCCAGAGGCCGTGTTGCTTAATTACCTCTCTAACGACATGCTGCTGCTTCTGTTATAGTTTATTTATACAGCATAGTGGGTTCTTTAGGTTGCCCTAGAAATGTGTTGGCGTAATCTTTGCCCCTTTTGATATATTTATTCATTGCTGCAGCTGTTTTTATTCTGCAATGTATAGAACAGTGATGCTCTTTATTCTCCCCCAGGAGTGCTTGTTCCAAAACTCTGTAGCTACAGTATTTTTGGATCAGGTTTATCCGTCCAAGTATACATGAACAAAAAGGGCTCAGCTGTTTTTGGTTGTGTCAGAATATGTGGGGGGTTAAGGAAGGTCAGATGGATAGAAAGCTAACAGCGGTCCCAAATGGTGTCTTCGTGTTTATTTATGCCCTACTTATTATTGCTGCTCTGCACATTTACAAGTGTAAAAAGATGGGTGTATTCAGTATTGCTTGGCTGTGTTTTGTTGCTTGCTTGCATGTCTACGTGAACTGAATAGTTGACATAGTTGAAGTATTACTTTAATAATGTTTTGCCTTTTTATGTTGCTCCGCCTGGCTTTGCACTGTCACGAGAGTGTTTGGTTTGTTGCTGTTTTTCAACGATCACCTAAACCTAATTATTTTAGGAACATCTTGCTTAAGGTCTGCAGTTGGATATACACCTGTTGGCTCACACTGGCACATTTGCACAAATGTATATATGTGTTCTCCTTAGAGAAATGTAGTAAAACAAATGTTGCTTGCATCTCACCATCACACTATGGTACAGATTTTACAGTCGATGCACTGTATGGTTGCCCTTCTTAAATCTTCAGTGCAACTGGCTTCATAAAACAAAGCTCTATGTTCTAACTACCGGTATATATAATTTTGTCCAAGATTGCACATGTGGTCACACTCTGTCTTTAGTATAAAAATGTCCCCTTAAAACTAAAAATGTATCGATATATAGAATGCTTCTCTTTGATTTACCTGTATTTGTGTGTTTCATGTGTGCAGACTCACTTCTCTGTGGCGGAGACATCAGTGTGTCAGTCGGTGACCCAACTGGAGGCTCTGCAGGCTGTGGTGGAGTGTCAACAACCAGAAGCCGACCTGTACAGGTAATCCAGTCTATGTGTGCACACACTTTCTGGATAAGAGCAGGAAAAGACCAGTGCAAAGTCACATATAGTAAACGTAGCATACGCATACTGCATTAGAACAATAACAGCCAATGTTCTGCCTTTCAAATCCTCATAAAGGAAATACTCTAGCTTTATATTTGCTTTTTACTTGTAACTGTAAGTAACAATTGCAAGTATAGATTCATATTTTCAATTATTTGATATTCTGGGATCTCCAAAGACCCCTGGTTCTAAAAAGCCACAACAATTCATACATGGTAGAAATGCCCAGCCAGAGATGTGTTATTAAATGAGTGATGAAGTGAGAAGGCTTCATCACCTCTTCAACAACCCTTCATCCTCCTGTCGGTCTCAGCTAGCTACTTTAAGATCGATCAGGGTATTTTTAGATCGGCCAGTGTGTTTCGGTGGCATTTTTCTCCCCTCCCCTCTCTCTTGGTTGCTGTGACTCTCTTAACCCTCACAGTGTTTACATACACTTTACTAAATCAACTGAAAGTGAAATTCACAGGCCTTCATATGTCATTTTCCTAGAGTTGTTTTTTTCTTCTAACATCTGGAAACATTCTCAAATGTGTTCATTAATCACCAATCTGTTATTCCAAGTACTGCAAGAAAAAAGTCTGTGCATGCTGCAGAGGCCTGGATCTAATACATTTAGAATATGTCAGAGTGTAGTGGAGAATATGATTGCTGACCAGCTGCACATAAACACAGGAATCACGTTATTGAAGTGCATGTAAAAGCCTCTCTCGGATTTCCTACATTTACATGATTTTATACTGTAACCGAGTTTCCTGTGTGCATTTGAATGTACTTACTGTCTCTCTCACACCACTCAACTAAAATGCATTTTGTGTTTTCCAGGTTTGTCGGTCGGATTACGATTACTCAGCAAGATGAGGAGATAGTCAGGTGAGACCAGATTTATCCAGCTGCTTGTAATTCAATTAATAATAGTATGTGTGCTAGATAAGCTGCCAAACATACAGCCCAATAAGATGAACAATAAATGGTATTACATGGCTGTCAGTTGATAGGGAAGCTGTTTGAGAAATGAAGCTCCTAAATTTGAAAAAAACAACTTCAAATTGCAGATGTATAAGCCTTGTCTACTGTTGAGTTGAGTTTATATCAATGTCCTACTGTTTATTTTCTGTGCCGAAATCACATCCATCTTTTTCTGTATTCATGTTGTTGTTTTTGTTTGTTTTATGTCAGACCGCTGGGTCCTGAGAATTTGCTGCTACGAGGAGCCAGGTTGAAAAATACCAAAGAGATTTTTGGTGAGTCAGTACCGATACAAATCAAAAGGAAAGCTTCTGTAAATGTCAAAACCTCCACCTGAGAGGGAAGCAGTTCGGGGTAAATTAAATATAACAATGGATGATGAATTAAGAAAAAATGGTATACAAAATAAATCAATTGACAGAAAAAACTAAAACAGGTTGCTTCTGAAATGCTTCCAGTGGATTATAGAAGCATCAGGGAGAGGTGACACAGCCAAGGTGGAACTGACACTAAAAACAATTTTATTGGACAGTATGGGAAAAACAGACCTCTCATTATCATGTGACAAAAGTATGATTATCTCAACTGTAGACTTTTATAGCAATGGTTTAGTAGTCTGTCTGTCTGTACTGTGATAAGTGCTTCAAATGTAATCAAAATGTTATCTACATTTCCAGATGGACTATATTCAAATCACAAGTTGAACCATATTTATTTAAGGCTAAATATGTGTTCAAATACCATATGTGAATAAAGTGTGGTGGAGCTGCAGAGATATCTCGGGATACAAATTGATTATTACAAGCTGAACAAAACAGATTTTACACCAATCCTCTTAAAAAAATCACACCATGATCATAATAATATATTTTGCGAAAATGCGAAAATGTTCATTATTAAAAAAAAATGCAGTTTCAATATCGGTGAAAACTATCGCTATCGTTATTTTTTACAAATCATGCAGCCCTGACAGTTATTGTGTGGCATAGAGAACCAGAATCAATGACCTACCATGCAAACATTGATCATTTTCATAACTTTATGTGAAGGGTTATTAACGGGCTAATGTCTTATTATTGCTTAATCCTGTGCTGTTGCAGCCGTGGCGGTTTACACAGGGATGGAGTCCAAGATGGCGCTCAACTATAAGGGCAAGTCTCAGAAGCGCTCTGCAGTGGAGAAGTAAGTGGTCTCTCAGAGGAAGCAAATCTCCTTCTGTTTTAGGAGATAACCTTTAAATGTAAAATATCCTCTCCTGTCAGGTCCATGAACACCTTCCTCCTCATCTACCTGGGCATCCTGCTGTTCGAGGCCATCCTCAGCACCATCCTGAAGTACGCCTGGCAGGCTGAGGACAAATGGGACGAGCCTTTCTACAACCAGAAGACTGAACAAGAGAGAAACAGCAGTCCGGTAAGTGTTCTTCGTATTAAGCCCCAGAAGAAAGCATTGATTTTCTTTTTGTAAGCAGAGCAAGCTATCAGCCGCAGAGATAAGATGAGGTGAGATTTTAGTTGACATTCCACTTCTGTTCTCTCACTTTCTTGTTGCTCCGCTTTAATCTCCACTCCGAATAATAATGGGCTTTCTCTCTCTACTGCAAGTATAAGGTAATAGGGGGAGTGAGTGAAGATGTAAAGACGAACCCGAGCTTGAATCCACACCCACACACACACACACGCACAGATCTAGACGGGTGATGGAAGGGTGGTTTCAGTGTCTCGAGGTTTTGTAACAAGGCTTAAGTGAGGAAGTGCCTTTCATGGGGACAGTCTGCCGGCCTATCAGCCTACCTGCCAACACTGATCAGTCAGGGAGAACAGCAGCCTCCCTGTCTTGACACTGAGGGGGGAGAAATCTCTGTTCAGTGCACTCCCTTATCCCTGGAGACAAAGAGAGTAATACCTGTAACAAATGAATGGCTGTGTTTTTACCATTAGTTTAAAAGCAACTCCAGCCCCCTGTCCCCTTTGTATACCATTAACCAAGGATTGCATGTCTCCCCATCACAGCTATCTCCTCTCTCCAGGGAATATATTGGTCCTTCACTAGACTGAAAAATATCTCAATACAAACATTATTACAGTTGTTTTCCCTCCCTGCTTTGTAATCAGAACTATTCAGATGTATTAGGTTCAATTCTTTATTTTGTAAAATGGGATAGACAGAGCTCAACTGTAGGTAGCATGTCATAAACCTGTCTCTTTAAAGCTGCTGACACTCAATGTCTGAGAGACACTCAATCTCTCAGTATGTGGTGCGCTCTTACTCTCCTTTCCTGTCACATACAGTAATTACCTCCATAATGGGAATGAATTACCCTGCCTGCTTTGATTTACAAGGATCATTGATCACACCACCAGTCTGTGTGGGGCTGAGATGTGTATAAAGTAGGGCTGAACATGAAATGTTATCTTAAATGCAATATGGATAAAATACTGTTCTGAATTAAGTATAGTGGTGCTGTAGGGATGTTCCTAACAATTGTATTCTCTTTAGAAATCCGTGTTACAGATCATTGCAAAATATTGTGAACATATTGCAATATTTGTCAAAATAATAGCAATAGCAATATATTTTTTAAATCAGTTGTCCCTAGTAATCAGCACATTTATATTCCAATGATATTGTTTTTGTCTTCCACCAGTAAAACATAACATTAAATTGCAACATTGCCAAAGGCATTCCTCTATTTTCCATCTCAGATAAAGCACAATGTAAGCTGAGATAAATGACAAAAAACGATTGCGATACTCTTGTATTATTTATTATCCTAAATGGATCAGTTTACAACATATTTTTCCAAATGCTGTTAGAGGCATTTTTTGTTATTTACAAACTTTAATTTGTTCCTGTTTTGTACCAAATCATCATCCTTCTTCTCTCGTCACTTTTGTCTGTTCTCTTTCCCCCACTCTCCATCTTTCTTCCAACTACAGTTACAAACGGTTTCAATATCTTCCCCCAGAGTTCAGGTCACATTGGTTTATCTCGCAATCTTGTTTCACTTAGGCCCTCTGTCTTGTTCTCCTTTAGATCTTGAAGTTTATCTCAGACTTCCTGGCATTTCTGGTCCTCTATAACTTCATCATCCCCATCTCGCTCTACGTTACTGTGGAGATGCAGAAGTTTCTTGGCTCCTTTTTCATTGGCTGGGATATGGACCTTTACCACGAGGAGACCGACCAGAAAGCTCAGGTCAACACATCTGACCTCAACGAGGAGCTGGGACAGGTAGGCCATGCAAGTGCCTGAACACATACATAAAGCATAGGAGCAAAGAGACATAGACTTGCATAGACATTTGAGTTTTTCAGTTAGATATTAAATATAATGCATATTCAACTGCAGGAAATATAACCTTTTTGACATAACATAAGGGTTTGTATTTTATTAAATAGTCAACACATACATTGTCATCCTAATAATAGGAAAGGACCCTCTGCCTCACATCTACTGCTTGAATAATCCTTTTATTTATTTTCTTAGGTGGAGTATGTGTTTACAGATAAGACGGGTACGCTAACGGAAAACGAGATGCACTTCCGTGAGTGTTCAATCAATGGCATCAAGTACCGGGAAGTTAACAGCAAACTGGTGCCGGAGGGAATGACTGACGATTCACCAGACGCTTCTACACCTCACCTGGTAACTCGCATATGAATGTAGAACATATACACTGTTCCCAATTCTGCCATTTAACGAGCACCACCGAAGAATATGATTAAAGGGGCCCTATTATGCTTTTTAGGGTTTTCCCTTTTCTGTACTGGGTAATACAGGTTTTTGCGCATTGGAAATGATCTGCAAAGGCTAAAATCCCAAAGTTCCCTCCAGAGAGAGTTTCTCTCCCCCCCCCCCCCCCCCCCCTGTAATGGTTTCCTTTGTTTACTTATGTAACATAGTGACATCATTATGTAACACTTGTGTTTCTATTGGCTAGCGCTCGAACAAATTGTATGTGAAAGCTTAAGGGGTGGGACATCTCTAAGCTGTTGACCAATCACAACAGAGCCGGCCGGGAAAATAAAAATAAAGACTTTTTGAACAGTAAAGCATGTAAACATGTTACGGCAGAGGAACAAAATACAAGTATGAACCTGAAACTTTGCATAAAAGAGCCCCTTTAAATTACTCTATTAGACAATGATGTTATAAGGAAAGATAATTGGCCTAATGGATTTATCCCTGTTGCAGCATGAAATGCACAAAATGATTGACTTTTAATCACATCTCCCTTATGTTTACAATGACAGTTAACTTTCTAACCCCTTCCTGTTCTCGTTTCATCCAGATGGGTGAGGAATTATTATTTCTCAAGGCGGTGTCCTTGTGTCACACGGTTCAGATCAGCTACGATCAGCCAGACGGGGGCGGAGACCCATTCTCCCATTCAAACGGTTTCTCTTCCAATCACATAGAGTACTACGCCTCTTCACCTGACGAGAAAGCTTTAGTAGAGGCAACAAAGAGGTGAGGGTACATTCAATTCAGCTAAAATAGCTGATTTGTGCATGCTGACTTTGAAACCAAGAGTGTTTTCGACATTCTCAGTTTACTCACAGCACTCCAACCTTTTTCCTGCTGTAACCCTTGTTTTTGAGGGTTTTTTTTGTCACATAAATATAGAGCAGGCCACGATTTAATGTACAGTGAAAACCCTCTAACAAATGATTGTGTAAAATGTCTCAAATACATTAATAGAAAGAGACCAGATTCTCTTATACCAGTTAGATAAAGATGGAAGCTGCAAAACTCTTCCAGTTCTAGGAAGGACGGAGCATTTATGAATGAGAAATGAGGCTGTGTACCTCTAAATTGCCAACTATAAGGCTTCATTGGGCAGGAGTCAGGGATTCTTGCCTATGCCAATTCATTGCATCTAATTGAATTATGTCATGCAGTGAGGGTTGCACCCATGACCCAATGCCTTCATGCTCCATTTGGCCCCAGACAGTGCATCTGTTCTGTTTTGTTTTTGTGTTTTAATTTAAACTGAAAGCAGACACACTTGGAAACATAACCTCAATATTCACCCGCAAACATAACACCTGTTACAACACCATTTATTTAAAAAGGAGTCACAGTTGGTCAGATTACTCAAAAGATATTGGTATTGCATATCTTTGGACTTTATTCTGCTGTTGTTGGTATTCTGTATTGTGATTTGCCAATTCCTTAATAATGAGAATAGTGCTGTGACATGTTAAGTGTACAACCCCATCCAGGGGCCTCGTTTATAAACGGTGCGTACGCTCAAAAGATGGCGTACGCCAGTTTCTAAGCAATGTTTGCGATTTATAAAAAACAAACTTGACGGGAAAATGTGCGGTCCTCCACGCAAACTCTGACCCATGCGTACGCACTAAGCACAAAAACGGGAGAGACGAGAAACTGTGACACCGTTGGCAGAAGGAAGAATGGAGAGAAATATGTGGAAATAATACCATAAATAAAATGTTACCTCATGTATCATATGAAGAATCAATTTGCAAACATTGATTAAAGCCAATCTTAAAATCATTAAACAAACGCCTGTTTGAGACTCCTCAGTGCACACAAAAACCTAACTTGGAGAAATAAGTATACACGGATATGTTATTTAAAACCACCTCGAATATGTTGTCTTAATGTTATGACCTGTATTCTCATAAATGATGCAGAAGGACAGAATTACGTCTAAACTGCGGCCGTTTTGTATTTCTATAGGTTGTATAGATACGAGCATGGTTTTATATACCATCATGTTTAATCATGTTTTATGCCGTTTGCCAAGACTTGATAAGTCGCTCATAAAACACAGGAGGTATGGAATACCTCAACACATTAGTTTTATTTCCTTTAACTGGTGGATATAGAGTTACTGCGGGGGGGTTGAGATGCACAGGCTGCAGTGGAGACGCTGCGCACAGCTGATCGACAGCTGGAACACAAACCACCAAATAAAAAAATTAAAATGAATTGACTCCACTCCACAGGGATCCTCCGTTACCTTCTTACAGTTGCTCATCAAGGGGGGGTCTCCTGTCCCCGGCACAAACACACTGACACACTGCCTGAGGAAGGTTATGTGTATTTTGTCATTAACTTTTTTCGGACCACTTATTTATTTATTTTGGTGACGATCCGACCTCCATGCTGCTACTCTGGTTCAAACTGCATCCACCAAACAATGTGATTTGTCTCCACCTTCCCAAAAGAACCAAAATCTGACACGGTGTGAAATGTCTTTTTTAGCTGTTCTGTCGTCATTTCCTGCGATCTTCTTCTTCCTTCTTCAGTCAAAATGAATATTAATACGGGGCGTTTCTTTGACTATTTATAGGCAAATATGGGCGTTACGTGAAGCCCGCAAAAGCTGTGCCGCATTTCGAGTTGATTGTGATTTATAAAGGGAAACCGGCGTAGGACGTGCCGCACGCAAGTCCTACGCCGGTACGCAGTGTTTTATGAATCGGAAAATGTCTGTGCGTATATATTTGCTTTGTCCTACGTAAGCAACCTTCCCACGTGAATCCTACGCAAGTCTTTATAAATGAGGCCCCAGAGCTTTTGCACTTTGCCCTGCTGCAAGTACATAAGCCAAAAGAGCAGGTGAACATAGAGACTGTGCACTAAATATCTACCTCTTTGCACTTGTCGCTGAAATAGAGTCCCGAGTGGCCTGAGGAGACTGCTCTAGCTAAAAGTTACATCGTTTTTCTTATAAAGACCCCGTATTTAAAGGTCAGATAGTCCATTCTCCAGAGAAGGTAACTTTTACTGCTGTCTGTTTTTTCCTCAGGCTGGGAGTGGAATTCACTCGCTGCAGTGGAGAGACCATGGAGATCAAAACATTTGGCAAGTCAGAAAAGTAAGTCTAACCCCTTAATACTATGAACAACAAATAACCATGCAATACAAACACATCTATTCGCAGGAAAGAAACTGTGTCTTCTGTCCTGCAAGTCCAAAGTGAGGTTAACCTAAGTGTGCTCCCTCAGATACAAACGGCTCCATGTGTTAGAGTTTGACGCTAACCGCAGGAGGATGAGCGTCATACTGCAGACTCCCTCAGGTAACTCCACCTGGAAGTATACAGGATTTTAGCATTATTGACTATATATTTACTGCAGCAATAATAAGCACTTTACGGAAGAGCAATGGATCATGATGTCTAACAGAAGATGAAAAATTTATAAAACGCTAATTATAAAAAGTAATATAAACTGCAATTAAAAATACATTATATAGCCTTGTTGTGATGTTTATTCTAAGGGTTTTCATTAGTTCATTTTGTGTACCAAGGTAATGTTTTCCATTGCATTAAGAGTATTTTGACAACGTATCATCTTATTATGTTTTGACTTTAAAGGTGGCCAAGTGCTGTTCACCAAGGGCGCTGAGTCGGCCATCTTGCCTTTCGCTACCAGTGGTGAGATCGAAAAGACGAGACTACACGTTGATGACTTTGCCTTGGTGAGAATTCCTTCTTTTTTTTTTACAAAAGTTTAAAATGTGTTTCCTCAACAGGCTCTCCAGCAACTTTCATGACTATATTACACATCTGTTTAGTGGATGGATGGCCGTGGGCCTGCCTCCTGATCCATATCATCAGAAGTGCGTGTTCTTTATGTGCGCAGGCCTGGCATTTCCAGGCACTGAAGTGATTACTTTTGGCTCTGTGCTCCTATTAGACTGTAAATTATTCACCACAACAGGCCCAAACACACGCATACTGTACACACACACACACATCTGGCCCCCACATCATGTCATCGGACGTCAGTACCCGGGAGACGGGGTTCTGGACCGGGTTGATTTGTGGTCGTCTTCCTCTCTGGCTGGTTCTGTGATTTAAAGCCAAGCTCTGATCATGTGGTTTCTGTTCTTTTTCTCTGCCCTTTTTCAGCTTGCTTTCCTTCTTTTTTCTCCTTTACACATATTCTTAACTCACTCACGCTTTCCTCTATACAAAGCTCACCTCTTCCTGTCTTTATATTCTGTTCTGTCCTTTTTTTTTACATTTCTTATATTCTGACTGACGCCCACCTTCCTCCTCCCACTGCAGAAAGGATTGCGGACCTTGGTTGTAGCATGTCGTCACTTCAGCCCGGAGGAGTACATTGATGTGGACAGGCATCTGAACGCAGCCCGCACCGCGCTGCAGCAGAGGGAGGAGCGGCTGCAGGAGGCCTTCAGCTACATCGAGAGAGATCTGCATCTCCTTGGAGCAACGGGGGTCGAGGACAAGTATGAACACAAACAAATACATTTGAATGAATCAGTGCTGCCCCTTTAAAAAAACACATTTTCATACCTCTTATGCATATGTCGTCTTTCACATCACATACAAATCTTTACAGTCCAAACAGAAAGCAGCACCGAAATGTTAGGTTGTTAAAAGTGTTGGAATTAGGTTACCCTATATACAGCCTTTTTGGCGAGGTGGGGGAGACAGCCAAAAGTGTGCAAGTGACACTTTACTCATCTTTTTCTCGTTATTTTTTTCTCACGCTGCGTCTCCCCTGAAGCTCTCTGGCGGCCCCCCAGGGAAGCGCGCCTCACACTTTGAAAAGTGCTGACCTATAGTAAATGTTTAGATAAAACATATGTTTTATTTCCGCAGGGTTAGCTTTAAGAAAAATCAATGTATTGTAGCTTTAGATTGATGTTTCAGTGCCTCCTGTGCATTTAAAGCCAGTTAGCAGCACGGCTGTATAAATGATGATGTCAGTCTGAAGGTTGGTCGGCCCTTCACTTTGGTCAGGAGTGAAATATCTCCACATACAGTATGTGTATATATATATATATATATATATATATATATATATATATATATATATTCATTAATGATACCCAAAGGGCTAACCCATTGACTTTGATTATCTCCTCACTTTTTTCTAACTAAATCGACTGCAGGTTGACTTCTGTGCTTTTTATTTAAATGAGACACTTAGGATTGGTTGCCTTAAACCAGTGGTTCCCACTTTGAACAGGTGGGGCTTGAAAAGGCCCACCTGTTCCTCATTCCTCAAATGTATCGTTCTATAACAGGGGTCTCCAACCTTTTTTAGGATGAGAGCTACTTTCAAAAAATAAAACAAGTCGTGAGCTACTTTTACTCCTCTTTTTTTGTTTTTTTTTGCAGTGTAGATATTTAGCACTTTAACATTATGATATGCTGACCTTTAACCTTTGTTTGCTGTTTGGGTCTGTGGGACCCGTTTTCAGTGTTTACTAAAAGAAAATGTATGCAATTTAATTATTTTAACCTGCTTTATTTGGGGTCCTCACCTCCTCGAGGGGGGTCCGGGGGCATGCACCTGGTGCACTTTGAGCACAACATGAATGTATGGATACAGCTCTCAACACTCAGATGAAAGGGAGCTGTATACTTTTCAATAATCCAAACATCTTTAGAATACGATCACAACCAATAACAAATCATTTATTCTTATCTTATGTTACCTAGTTAGCATTCTTTCTTTTTATTTATGCATATTTTACTAATCACTCCCCTTTTAAACTGGTTTTCTTTTTTTTACTGTCCTATACACATTGGAATGATTTCTTACTTTATTTTTTACAACTAGGCTATATTAAATAGATAAAGGTGTGCTCTCTCGCTCTCTCTCCCGGGACTTTTCCCGGTGGGTCGCTGCCGTTGGTGGGATGCTGCTTTCGGTGGGCCGCTGGCTCTGGCATAGGTGGGCCGTGGACTTTCACAGCGCCGCTGCGCCGGTACTGCATCCGCCGCCGCAAACACCCACCGTTGCGAGGCTCCGGCGGCTCCGACGCAGCAGCGCTGTGAAAGTCCACCGCCGTTGCGAGTCTCCGGCTGTAACAGTCCACTACCGCCCGCGAGGACCCAGGTTCGATTCCGGCCTGAGGTCCAAAAAATGTATTTAAAATTAAAAAAATTATAATCTCCCGTTCATCGCGTCCATTCGCGACCCACCTATCACATCTCTGCGCCCCACCAGTGGGGCGCGCCCCACACTTTGAGAAATGCTGCCTTAAACCATTAAAAACAGATTGTCAAGAGGAAATAGCCAAAAGGTAACTCAAAATAACTTTGGTTGTCCACGCAGATTGTGCCAGTAAAATGTAATTTGTCCAACACTTTGGTTTTCATCAACTAATTACATTCTCATCTGCCTTAGCTGCACTTAGAGTTTTACTGCTTATAAGTTCAAAGTAGCATGCTTAAACGCTAAACAAAGAATGGGGACATGGGAAACCTTCCTGCAAGAACGTAATTTATGAACATCATTAGTCTTGTGAAATGTTTTGTAACTAGGAAATGTAATTTTTTCACTCAAAGATGGGACTTTTGTTGAGGTTAAGAAATATAAATAACTAACTGAAGATTGTTATGTTCTAGGAAATTAAACTGAGATAGTTTGACATCAGAGCAGATTGTACAAACAGTTGGAAACACATGACTATAAACAGACAGATAAACTAAAAGAGCAGGAGAATCTTCAACAAACAAACAATGTATAGTCATCAGGGAGAAAGAAGCTTCACCCCACTGAGCCTCTCTGGAAGTGAATGTTGATGTGAGTTTGCATCAGCTCACCATCTGCTCCTCACATAAGCCTTTCTCCTTTCTCCCTTTGTTTATCTCCACTGCTCTGTTTCTGCATCTGTAATGAATTCCTCCTCAGGCACACATGGTCACAATCAAAGGATCTTCTCTATCATGGAAGGCGTTACTAGAATTCCTCTCTTGAGCCTAATAACGCTGACAGGCATGGTCATATTATCAGAGTTTTCTTTCAAAGTCTCCACCCTCCTTCAGTGTTGCTTTTGAATAAGTCTGTTTAAACTATGACTACCTATTTATCCAACCATAATGTATTGGATTTATCTTATTTGGTTTGAAGAAGGTTTTGTATATTCGCAGACCTTGCCTGTCTGTGTCCTATAAAAAGAGCTTCCTGCCAATCCAAAAATAGGTGTATTGAATCATGGCCTCTTTAGCTGCCTAACAAGCCTTTGTGGCTTGACCACATAATTGACAACCGCAGTAAAACACCAGGTTTGAATGCTGGCCTCAGCCACAACAACTCTGAAAATAAATATGTCACCTGGAGATTGATTAAATGTAATTATACAAAGGGATCACTAAAAGCTTTGAATAAACAGCATATGTACTTACAAACATAAGTACATTTATTTTATATTATTTCCTACCCTTGTCTCTATCAGACTCCAAGACAAAGTCCAGGAGACCATCGAGGCTCTGCGTCTGGCAGGGATCAAAGTATGGGTGCTGACAGGGGACAAACATGAGACGGCGGTCAGCGTCAGCCTGTCCTGCGGACACTTCCACAGAACCATGAACATCCTGGAGCTCCTGCAGCAGCGCTCTGATAACGAGTGTGCTGAGCAGCTCCGCAGACTGGACAGGAGGTGAGTGTGTGTCGTAAAATGTAAAATATACACAGTAAATCTTAAAATGCATCTTAAAGCAACATATTCTGATTACATTGGAGCTCTCTTTTTATATGCATGACTTTCACTTGAATTATGTCCTGAGTCTGACGCTGTTGTCTGCATCAGGGTTTAACTGTCGGGTTTTTTGTAAATAATAAAAACGTGAGAATACTCTAAATTTTTCAAGATGTCAGATTTTGGAAATGTTTCTGCAGTAGGCAGGCCTACTTTGCTGCTCTAATAAAAGTCAAGGGCAGGACTTGCTACAGTGATTAAAGTGCTGTTTGTTTGTATGCTTGTGTCCCAACTGAAAACTGGACGTAAATATTTAAATACCATATTTGGGTGCTTCAACTTACTGCGCACCAACAAAAACTAAAAAGTGCTTCTAAGTGCTAAATATTTAAAATAGAAACACTCCAAATAAAAACAGGATTTGTTTGTGATAAATGTGTAGAAAACAAAACATAAAGTAACAAGATTATCTGCTGCTGAATAGACTAACAGTCAAATCTAATACAGCATTAGATAGATGTAGTAGTTCTTTCTGTTGCTCTCCTCATCCATAACTAATCATGTATTCTTAAACTTGCTCTCTGATTTCTTCCAGGATCAAGGAGGACCATGTCATACAGCACGGGTTAGTCGTGGACGGGGCCAGCCTGTCTTTAGCGTTGAGGGAACACGAGAAACTCTTTATGGAAGTGTGTAAAAACTGTTCAGCTGTGCTGTGCTGCCGCATGGCCCCGCTGCAGAAAGCTAAGGTACCAGTCCTCTGCCATAAACACACACCAAAACTCTTTACCCTCGTGTCCATGTGTCAATGATATGTTGTTCTGTCCAGGTGGTGCGTCTATTTAAAACCTCCCCAGAGAAACCAATCACCCTAGCTATTGGGGACGGAGCCAATGATGTCAGTATGATACAGGAAGCTCATGTGGGCATAGGTAAACAGTCACTTCAAACACAGTGTGCTCTCTAACTTTGATATTGTATTGTCCAGTGTATCCTTCAATGTGTGTGTGTGTGTGTAGGTATCATGGGGAAGGAGGGTCGTCAGGCCGTGAGAAACAGTGACTATGCAATCCCCAGGTTTAAGTTCCTGGCTAAACTTCTGCTTGTCCACGGTCACTTTTACTACATTCGAATAGCTACGCTTGTACAGTACTTTTTCTACAAGGTGAGTTACTTAAATATATCTGCATATTTTATTTGTATTACAAGCTACAGAATGATAATCCAGAGTTTTGAAAAGTGCTTTTTAAACTGGACTCGCACAAATTCATGTCTTGAGCTGAATAAGTCTGTAGGAGCTCTACAAGGCCCAGTGTTCGGCCATCTCTCATTTCACTGCAATATTTTTTTTGTTTTTCACTCTTTCTTTTCCAGAACGTGTGTTTTATCACGCCCCAGTTTTTATACCAGTTCTTCTGTCTGTTTTCACAACAAGTAAGTCTCTTTATCTCTACACCCTCCACTATTTCATGTCATTTTAGATTTGTTTAGGGTTTTAATGCCATTGGCTTCCTAGAATGCATTCTTAACTATACCTGAGTTTCTTTTTAAATACCTCCCTCGAAGTGAGAGAGTTTGATATCCCGTTTGATTTGCATTTTTTATTTCAAAATTAAAATGCCCAATAAGCCAGAACATTGAGATTGAAATGTTGTTCTGGAAGCCTGTGAAAATTGCTGTATTATTTAAACAGTGGATGTCCCACTTTGCATTTAAACTCTTCATTCTCACTCTTCACCACATCGCTTTAGAACTCGAGTTGAATTATTTATTAGACTATTATTGGCATTAAATCTAAACTTCTGTCTGCTATTAAAGTAATTACTTCTGTCCGAGACCCTAAGAAATTACAACCATTCTTTTTTGCCTGTGTATCCAAACCTGATAAAGCTCTTGCCTTTTTTTTAAATGTATTGTAAGTTATCTAAGATAACCTGTTTGTTTAAGTTTGGTCTAATGGGTTTGTGTTAAGTGAAATGCTGTCTCTTTTCCGTCCCAGACTCTGTATGACAGTGTTTATCTGACACTGTACAACATCTGCTTCACCTCGCTTCCCATCCTGGTGTTCAGCCTGTTTGAACAGCTGCTCCATCCACACGTACTGCAGAATAAACCTGGCCTGTACAGGTAAGCTCGGTATCTCGGTAATATTATACAAAAGCAATAACTGTTTAAGGGTCGCTTGCATATATACAAAATGTATGTATAACTGCCATAAATGTATACGAAAAACATAGTAAATTATTTTGTGGTACACCATCTACATTCACAAATTGCTACTGTTTAACAAAGATGGCTAAAATACATTTTGTTTACATTTTGATAAGAACAAGCACAAAATAGTATGTAGTACTAGAGAATGCAATTCCTGAAGAAATTGCTAGTGGGAATGCTTTATGCTGAAAATCTGAAGCTAAACTGCTATGCTGAAATGTAATGTGTAAAAAGAAAGTGAAGAATTTAGATTGAAATGATACATGAACACTGGGGGCTTGAATGTGTGATGAGAGAAGAAAATAAAGTAAAAAGGCTTGGAAAAGCAGCAGAATATTTGAACTGCAAACTTTTGAACTAACTTGATGGCGAATGATCTGTTGCCATGCCAACGGAATTTGATGACATCCCTTAATACGCTTAGATGCGTTGATGGCTGTGTTACCAAACCTGTGAAGTTTTGGGCCGTTTGGAGCATTTTCACTGAAGTTATGAGAAAACCGTGTTTCATGGCGAGCATTGTGTTGCCATGGCAACGGCATTTGAAGAAATCTCAAAACTGTCCCGTAGATGTCTTCACGGCTGGACTGTTAGCACACATGTGAAGTTTGAGCACTTTATGAACATTTTCTTAGGAGTTATAGCGACATCGTCTTTTATGGCGAGGGATGAGTTTCCATGGAAACGGCATATGATGAAACCCCATAATTGACGTAGAGCTGTTGAGAACAATTTTTAATATCTCTAAAAGTACGAATCAGATTTAAAAGTTGTGTTACACGAATAATGTCAGAAAGATGTGTAACATTTTAAAGTTGGAATGAGGTTTCTGAGTGAAAGTATGAAGGAGCAGTTAGCAGTTGAAGTTGCATGAAGATTGTTCAAGTCTGAAGAGTTTCTCCATTGACTTCCACGTTAAAAATGTGATGAATTATGGGATGTATATTATGAAAGTTATGAATAAGAAAAGTAATAGCCATGAGCCACAGATATGATACAATATATTTCTTCTCAGAAAACAAAAAAACTATTTCTGTATCCTACAGGGACATCAGCAAGAACTCCCTGCTGTCTTTCCGGACGTTCCTGTACTGGACTCTGTTGGGCTTCTGTCACGCCTTCATCTTCTTCTTCGGATCCTACATACTGATGGGAGATGACACCACGCTCATGGGCAATGGACAGGTGATCTAGTCTGTGTGTGTCTGTGTGTATGGTTGTTGAGTGTGTGTTTATAGTAAAATCCTTAGAAAATGAATTGTCCTGCTTACCTTATCAGAATGGTTGCTGTAGGAAATGATTGGTAGATTAGAAAGAAATGTGTGTATCCATGTTATGATGAGTTATTGTTATTGATGCGGCTGGTTGCCTGAAGGTATTTCTTCAGTCAATCCTTCTCTTAATCTAGTTCTTTTTTCATCTGTCTCTTCTTCATTCTGTCTTTTTTTTGTAACCACCTTGTACACTGTTTGTCTCTATATCTGTGCTAGCATGTATGTCAGTATATCTACTAATTTCACCATTTCTTCTTTTCATATCTTCTGTGTCTCTGGTTTATCACTAAATCAATTTCCTTCCATTTTACTTTGCCGTCTGTCTCTCTCTCTCTAAAGTTTGGTATTTCAGAAAGCACTCACTCCTTTAGCTCTCACTCGCTTGTCTTTTTCTTCTATCTTTCGTTGATTTCTCTTTTTTCCTTCTACCTTCACGCTGTGCATGTCTTCAGATCTTGCGAGCTAACAGGCAGCTGGTAAGAGTCTGCTCTACGGTTGAATGCATGTCTTCCTGGGGGGGTAATGAGAGGACTATCAGCATGATTCCTAAACATATTGTTGTCTTGCTAATGATGATGTAGAAAATTATGATTTTTCATACCTATACTTTGTTTTAAATATTGAAATGAGCAGTATGATGGAAGTTAGAAAACATGCAGTGGCATGTGCATTTTGCTTAAAATATAGTTTTAGTAACCTGCATGAATTTAAACTTTTACTTAAAAAAATCTACTACTACTGCATAGACAACTACATTTACATACAACAAAAGGCCAATAGATCCACACATGAATATATCATTGCCTTTAAACATACAGACCACAGGCTTCAAGTGTTTGCTTGTATAGTTATATATCCTAGAATTGTGTCGTAAGATAAGATAAGATGGACCTTTATTAATCCCCATGTGGAAATTCAGGAGTTAAAGGTCCCATGACATGGCCATTTCTACTGATCATAATTCCATTGTTGAGGTCTACTAGAATAGATTTACATTGTTCAATGTTCCAAACTCACATTGGTTTCTCATACAGCATCTCTGGATAGTATCTCTATTCACTCTCTGTCCTACACGGCTTGTTGGAGCTCCTGACCCCCCCTCCCTATTATCCCACTGTGCTCTGATTGGTCAGCTCGACCACTCTGTTCTGATGAGTCCACCACCGTTACAGCGGAACATCAGTGATTATGTGTTACAATGGCGTTTGTTAGCAACCAGGAAATGACACCAGTAATGACAAACAGATGAGAATGCTGCGTGGGGTCTGGGTGCCGTGTTGGCGGGACGTTGCGGGGCTCGCTGCTCCGCCCTTTGAGGATCGAGGAGCGGACAGTGTGAGCTGGATTACTGGTGTCGTTTCCTGGTTGCTGCGAGACAGCGAGACATCGCGGAACTCAGCCTGAGCACACACATACACTCACAGCCAGGCTGTTCGCCACACAGTTCGCCACACAGTTCGCCACACACTCACAGCCTGAGAAAAGATAAGGGTGAGTGAGTGTTTCTCCGCGATCCCAACTCGTCTATTACCAACGTTCAGGGAGCTCTATGCAAGTCAATGGGACTCCCTAATAGTTGAAAATCGACACTAAAGGTCCCCCCACTGCATTTGATAGTGACGCCAAGGGATCCTGGTGTGTGAGGAGCTCCACGGATTGGTCCATTTGGACCAATTGGTCCATTTGGTCGTCGTTACGTCACTTAGACCAGGAAGAAAAAAATGGAAAAAGAAAAATCTCCAACGAGGCGTTCTGGGGCAGCATAGACAGGTCTTTTCTGTGTTAGAGTTTTACTCGCTACAGGGTGTACTTTGAGGGTTTGTGACTTTGCAGACCGTTTACATGCATAAAAAGCTTCATAACACACAAGGGGACGGGTAATAACCAGAAAAGCATGACATGGGACCTTTAAAGCAGCAACAGAGTGAGAGTGAAAAACATGACAGTACAGATTCACACAAGGATAATACAATTACAAATAACAGTATATAAGTAACTGTTAGTAGAAGATATCACAACAAGGTAAACGTTGATTATTTTAATGAACATACATACATATTTGAGTTCGGATTGTTAATTATATTTTCATGTGTGCAGATGCGAGTGCAGGTCGAAGTCATTTGTACGAACAGTGCAGATTTTATGTATGTACAGTACGGCTTACTTTGAATGGGTTACATGGTTAACCCTTACATACAGTAGTCAAACAGATACGATCATTTGCATACAATAACATTTTTATGGTTTAAATATAAAAAAATCAGGGTCATTTCGTTCTTGATTATTACAAATCTAGACAAGGTGCAAAGTTTATCAAAAGTGTTACCAGTACTGTCATGAATTAAAAGCAGGTGATGGTTACAGTAAATATGTAAATAGATCATAAAACAAAAGTCATTTTATTAACAAATGTGCTCCACAGAGCCGAGTTTTTAAGGACTTTTGTAAACAATTCTGCATGTTTTTTTTTAAAGATATAATGAACTAGAACAATATTCCTGTAAGGGGTCATGAATTGTGTTTGTGTGGCTGCACCTTATTCCTCTCACTATTACTTTTGAGTGTTCAGACTCCAGAGGGGCCCTGAAATGCCTGGCAACAAAACAATGCCCCCCACAGCTCTCCAAGTGGTTCTCATAGCAGGCGGTGGAGCTAGTGGCAGAGGTGACATGGTAGGAGTCCAGGCCTTTATTGAAGGCATCATAAAACCACTCAGCTTTTTAACTGAGTCTGATTTCTTCTACTCCACAACCAAAGCACGACCCTTTCACAGTCTCACCTGTCCTGACTCCCAACCTCGATCCAGATTACTGGTTTTAATATGATCAATCCAAGTAAAATAAGCGGTTAATGTCAAATACAGCCACTTGGATTCCTTACAATGAAATGCTAACAAAATGTTATATTTTTACATTTCAATGATTGGCGAACTAGTACTTATTTAATACTGCTGAGGTAAAAAGGAACAACACACAACACACAACAGGAAGAAGAAATTGTAAAGTATAAATATTGCATACAACAGGTCGACCATGCATATTGTTATGTTGTTATTAACTGGGTCCATGCATGTAAACATATCCAGTATTCCTCTGTTCTATTGCCAAAGTGTGATACTGTTGATAGTTTCATTAACAGTTCAGTGTTTGTTTTATAGATGTTTGGGAACTGGACATTTGGAACGTTGGTCTTCACGGTCATGGTCATCACAGTCACATTAAAGGTACATTACAGCCAATGTTATGCTCACTCTCTTTCACATTGCTATTTGTTAGTTTGTTATGATATCAAATTATCATTTTACTTTATTTTCATAACCTTACTTACTATAGTTACATACCTTTTTTTATTTTCAGCTGTAAATATTCATGGTATTTGTGTTGTATAATGACAGTGTAATATTAGTATAGCTTGTTACTCTGGGGGTTAACTGAGAGCTGTGTAGCATGTTTGGGTCCATATGGAAACACTTATATCGCCACAGTAAACAAACTACAGTATGTTTTGAAGTATAACGATGATGTCAGTAGCCATTAACAGGAAATTATTCGTCACAGGTCGGGGTCAAGGTCTTTTTTACTGCACAGAGACGGATGCTGTGGTTTATTGATGCCTTAACTGTCCCCGTGTCAGTGTTTTACGCATTCTTTTCATTTCCTCCCCCTCCTGTATGTGCTTGTTCGTGTATGTGTATTTGTGTAATAACAGCTTGCTTTAGAGACTCATTTCTGGACATGGATGAACCATTTTGTGACGTGGGGTTCAATTGCCTTCTACTTCATCTTCTCCCTCTTCTATGGAGGCATCATCTGGTAAGAAAGGTTCCTTACGGAGTCTTATGTTTTTCTTTCTCACAGGGTCTCTGCTCTGTGTGAAAAAAATGTTTCCATCTTTTTTTCTGCACTATGTAACCATTGTGTCCCCTCCCCTCCCTCCAGGCCCTTCCTCCACACGCAGGACATGTACTTTGTATTCGTGCAGCTTCTGTCCAGCGGCTCTGCCTGGTTCGCCATCATCATCATCGTCATAACTTGCCTCCTCCCCGATGTGGTGAAGAAGGTGTTCTACCGACATCTGCAGCCCACCAGCACACAGAAGAGTCAGGTAAAATGGGGAGGAGGGGCAGAAAGAGGACTTTTACAGGTTGTTTTCTGGGAACCTTTGTAAAGAAGTCCAGCCAATCTGCTGAAGTGGATTCTACTTGGTACAGAGGAAAGGTTCCATTTCTAATTGGCTGCAAATGAAAGAGGCTCTTCCAGGATGTATCTGTTCATTTCCTCAGAGGTTTCCCAGTGTTTCACACGCCCTGCACCCAGCTGGCCGGACTCCAAGGAGCACCTTATAGTCACTGTTAGTCACAGCAGTTCTCTCTACTCACTGTTTAAACGTTTTCTAGGGAAACTTCTTGAACTATCCTGCATTACTCCTGTGTCTACTCCGACTCTGGGAATGGAAGATGTTGTCTTTGTTTATCTCTGCTCTCATTAGAAGTTGAGTTTTGGATATTTGAGTGTGTAGGTAGCCTACATTTACAAACCTGGATTGTTTTTAGCTTAAAGTGGTTAAGTGATCAAGCCAAGATGACCTTTTTGTCAGGCCAAATCATGATTCAAAAGTCAAAATGAGAGAAAAAAGTCAGATATAAGATTATCATTTAAAGATAAGATATTAATTGCAATCAATGGGAACAATTTGAGACTAGCCAGCTCAATACCACAGTAGTAAAATAATCCTAACTTTTTTTTTATATCTGTAGTTATGGGCTTTTCATTTTCGCTCCACATGTTCCAAAGTAAAACTAATTCAAAGTAATGAAATGGAACAGGACAGGACAAACACATTGCAGTAGTTAAGCTGTCTTCTACTGTACGCACTGTTAGATTTAATACTCCCTCCTACTTGTATCGCAAAAAAATGAAATTCTATTTCCTGTAATGTGACAAGAGCCTGAGAGGGAGAACATAAAGTAAAATGTCAAGGTAACTCAGATTGTAGACACAGAGAGGAAGTATTTTCTGTGTCACTTTGTTCCAACAGTTCATATTTTTCTCAGCCTCAGTGGTCATGAGTTACCCGTTTCTTTACAGGAACAGCATGGTGTTTGGTTGCACATGAAAACACACCGCATGACTTTAATCCAGTGGCCACCCCTTTGGAGAAAAAAAAAAGTCGGGCCCCCCCAACACAAATAGTCATGTAATGGGCCAAGTTAACATTGATTAAAATACATCAATATGAACGTGAGCATTCCTTTGCTAGAACAGTGATAATAAAAAAACCAAACCGTTTGAGACCCGGCCACTAGCTCGCTAGCACCAGAAGCTAACAACAACGATCTCCGGTACCGGTGCGCTCTCTCTCTCTCGCGCACACGCACACAAAATGGCTCGTTCCACACACACACGGAGCCGGGCTTGAATGAAACACAGAGACCCAGACGTACTTGTACTGTACTGTATCATATTATTTTCGAATCAATAATTTTTCAAAAAATCTTTTTTTTTAAAAACATTTTCCCTCCTGGTCTCTCGCGCCCCCCCCTGTCATGCCTCTGTGCCCCCCACTTTGAGAAACACTGCTTTAATCCAACACACACACAGCGTGCATGGTCACCTCTCAGCAGACCCATGCTGTTATTGTATTGATTCGTCCAGCTGGAGACTGTTTATGTTTTATATTATTCCTTCTTCCTTTCCAAACTCGTGTCGTGTTTCTCAGGAGCTGCCTATTCCAATCCTCTGTGATGTTTCCGCTCTAACCTTTGTCCTGTTTTGTCCCTAAATGTATGCGTGTGTGTGATTCTGAAAGTGGTACACTCTAAACTGTGTGTTTAAATGCGTGCGTGCGTGCGTGTGTGTGTGTGTGAGAGACCTTGCTATCTAACCTCTCTGTGTGTCTGTGTGTGTTCTTCCTCCTATCCTCTCTGTGTGTGCTCCCGGTGTAGATGTATACCAATCGTGTGGCGATAGGTGATGACTTCATCGCTCTGCAGCCGCTCTCCAGAGCCAAGAGCCAGCTGGGCAAAATTAGGTAGAGGACACAAGACTGATTCAGACCTGGGCTTAAAATACATCCAGAAATCAATTCAAATAAAACAAGTTAAGCAGGAGTGCTTTATCAGAAGCAGTGTTTCTATATAAGACGTTTTTGGGATGCGACTGTATATCTGTTAATAGTCAGTCAGCATTGAATATATATGATTTTCAAATATTATACCACTTTAAGAAACTACCACAGGGCCTCTTATTTGCAACGTTTTGCTGATTAAATGTATAAAATCAGTATGATAATTGTATTAGATGACTATGATAGACACAAGAAAAAAAGCATGTTCCACACCAATCTGTGTCAACACTAATGCAAAAGCTTTACATGATGTTTCTTGACATTATTTTTGTTGCGTTGCCATTAATCAAAAGTAAAGTAAAAAATATACATACAAAAAAGATTGATTGATGCAAAGCTCAACATTTGATTCAACATTAGGTTAAAATCAAATGTACAGTATGAATGTATTTTGAGAAGGGGAACGACACTCTTTGTCTTGGAACCCGAAAGTGAAATGTGAAACATTGCTTTATGTAACAAGCACTCCTGCTTTTGATCAATCAGGCCAATCGGAAATGTTCTTCCTCCCTGGTCTGGACCTGATTTAGTCCCACTGAAGCCTGTTCCTAACACAGCACATGCACTGCAGAGACGTGTGCTGATCATGTTGGAACAGTTGCTTTCTGTTATATCTGTGACTGCATGCCCTGAACAGGCCAATCAGCATTCTCCATCATTAGGATGAGGAGGGGGTATACATATATGTAGGGGCTTTCTGGGGTAGGATTTATTGCCAAAAATGTGACATAAAGCATTTCAGCTGCTGCATGTGTTGCATTTTAGTGACAGGCTGAAATAAAGAATGTGTTCTGAGACATCCCCCACTCCTGCCCATGAAAGCATGGTCCCTGTCATTACACCCCCACTGCATGAACATACAGAGGAATGAGAGAGGGAATGAATGATGTAATTGGGTTAAGTTTGACTCTGCCCTAGCACTCGATAAAGTGTAATAGCAATGTTGTTGTACAGGGACTATTTAGGGTCATTCTGAATGTGACTTCCTGCATCTGCATCAGTCCCTAATCAGAGCACCTGATCATGAGCTCCTGGTCGTGTCATACAAACACAGTATGGTACGCCACACAGTTACATATCCTAAAGTCGCATGGTGCAGCCCATCACACCTTCCCTTTAATCTACAGCATGGTCCGTCCTTTTGACAAAGTGAATAACCACCTGAGCACGGTTTCCCACTTGATACAACCTTCTCTCCAGAGAATTCAGTCCACCTGCATGTTTTCTGCAGACCACCAGCACAAACTGACCCCCCACTCCAGCTGCATGACAGACTCTTGGACTGGTCTGAGCTGACTTGGGCAGCAGCATAATGCTTTCCAATAATAAGCGTGATAAACTGCTGTGTTATTATCACAACCGTTTTAGACTCATGACTTGAAGATCTTGTGCTGTCATAGCAAGCATCCTTGGAAACCGATTGCAAAGGAAATGCTTACAATAGTGTTAGATCTCTTTGGTGAGGAGAAAAGACCTAAAGCCCTCCAAAGAATCTTGATATTGGACAACACTGTCTGGACATAAGAAATGTATAGTTTATTTATAAGCTTGGCATCCTTTTGTTATCATCAATGGGTTTTAGACTACTGGTGAGATAAAACAAACATGAAATATTGGCTTTTTATGATATTTTATAGGCCAAGCAGTTTGATCTGAATATTTACTGACACTGAAAATAACCCCAATTTGGCAGTATGGTACGCCACACATTGTGTTGTTTATTTATTTTGAAAATGTATGTATTTGTTTTCATGTTTTCTGCAAGCATATCTTTAGCCTTACAGCTGTGGCATGTTACCACTGATGGTTTGTAGCACTAGCTTGAGAATGCTACTCTGGATTTATAACAACATAATAGCCTAGTTGTATGTTTAAAGTTGTTAACATTACATTCAGTCACCGGTGTAAAACATTGGAACACGGATGCAGTCCTGAAGATAAATCCTACCTCTGCAAAGGTTTATTTGCTGAAACTGAACTTTTGGTAGCTTCACATGAGTAATATAACTTGCAGTAGTTTAGGAGAGGTGAATCTGAAACACTGGCAAATGAGTGTATATTCCAAGTCACACCCAATATAAGCCATGCAGTCCCCTTCCGAGTCAATGAGCAGAAACAAACTGCAGACTGACTGATCATAAGTGCTCTATGGGAATGGAGAGCACATTATGCAAAAGAGATCCCATTTCCTCAGTTTAAGTCATTTATTTCTTGAATTGGTAGAACTACACAAGATGCTCTTACTGGGTTCCAAATCAAAGCATGTATTTATGTGTATGTGCTGTGTAAAGCGCCTATCCAGCTCTGTAGCAATAGTACCACCATCTATCGGAGTCTTTTGTTTTTCTTAATTAGATCAGAGAGGTATTCGCAGTAGAACCCGGAGGGCTCTCCTGGGTTCTCCGTTGTTTGCCTTCTGGTTTGGATGCTAATAAATGTGCTCTTATCTCCACTCAAAGAATGCGTTTCCCTCGAGACATCTTTCTCACGCCTGCAGCTTCTCACTGTGTTCACTTGTCTCTGCTTTTGTGAGAGTTAAAGCCCTCCTCCAGTGACTTCATCACATCCACTCAACCCTTCTGAAAGACCTTTTCTCCAGCAGTGATTTATGATAACCTCACAGTGCCAATTAGGATGAGGTCCAGGTCTGTATCAGGGGAATAGGACCCGGGGTGCTCATTGGCGTCGTCTTTCAAACCACAGGAAGCAGCGGTTCTTATTTGCCTTGTAAGGCAAAAAATGTGCTCTCAACTCTTTTGCTTTAAATTGTTGGAGAGGTCACTTGTGAAGGGCTTTAACAACAGGACCAGCATTGATTTGGTCTATATATACTGTATGTGTTAGTGTATCAGAGCTCACTGTAGGACTGACTCGCCGACTGACTGTTTACTTACTGACAATTCACTGGTTGGTAAATAAGCAGCACTGAAATGTATCCACAGTCATTTAGTCTCGTATTAACTCAAATACATTTACAAAACTAAATAAAACATAGTAAAACACTAACCAATGGTATGAAATAATTTCCAATATTGCCCAAATGAAAATTACTTTTAAGATAAAATTCTAATAATCATATCATTTTTCCCATTTCAATAATTGCATTTGAAAGTAGCTGCAATAAATTAATTGACTTATCGTTTAGAATGACAGAAAAATCACCATTTGGATAAATGATTAGTTGTTTAAGTTGCCAAAATGCTGTTTTTTTCAGCCTCTAACTGAAATATAACTGAATATCGTTGGGTTTTAAATCGACAAGACATTTAAAGACATTATCTTCTTTTGCATTGGAAATGTACACTATTATTTGATATATTTCACACCAAACGATTAATTGAGAAAAATAGTTTGACAGATACATAGAGTGGTGCAGTGACGAGTCCTAAAACCCGGAAGTGAGTTAGCATTTTACCACTAGCGGTTCCCTCGTCTCAGAATCAACGGGATTTCTCCATAGGATTTTGGAAAATAGCTGGAAATAAGGTCTGTGTTTGACACAAATTGAAGAGACGGATCACGTTTTGTTCTACGACATTAAATACATCAGCAGTGACCCCACTGGTGATTTATGAAGTGTTTACGTGTCTGAAAAACGATGGTTGTTAACAAGTGGCTGAATAGGACTACAGAAGTTGTCGAGCACGTTGTACGTCATTACACCGAACACGTAAACACTCCTGCTAAGTTAGTTTGCCCTTTTCTGCTTGAAAGCAAGTACCTGCGCTCTTGCAAACTGTTAAAACAAACTCTTCAACTTGTACCATTTTGAATCTGTATTTTTGAATATCGATCTTAAGTTGGCGTGACGTTGAAGTCGTGCGACCCTGCTGTACTCAGCTGTAGTTCGTTTATAGCATAACGTTGGCCTTTTGCTTCTGGCGATTAGATTTATGATTTAGAAAATTATAAAAGTAGGGTAGACATGTGGAGATTATCCGGCTGAACAAAACTTGCATTTATCAAACAGGTCAAAATCCCATTGACTCTGAGACGAGGGAACCGGTAGTGGTCAAATACTAACTCACTTCCGGGTTTTAGGACTCGTCACTGCACCACTCTATTGATAATCTAAAAATCAATGGTTGCAGCCCTATCTGAAGAGAGGTGTTATCCCATTACTTCAACTGAATCAAGCCTTAATATGGGACCAAATGACCTGTGGATACTATTGCAGTGTGATGGTTAGTTTTGCTTTACTGGTCATGTTTCTGTGTCTGAACTACCAACAGCCCACCTGGCTGACTGATGTCTGACCAGCCAGGGGGCTCACTGTAAGCATCTTGTGTCCTTCAGATGGAAGAGGGTGAGGGTTCAGTCGGCCCAGAATATGACCCTGTTAAAGCCCAGCGGAGCCCAGGGGAGGACAATTGGCACCTGCTAGCTGCTTATCCTCCCCCTGCTGCCCCCGGCCCAGACCCCTGCTCCCCTAGGTAGTACCATACTTCACTACCCTTGTCCCCCTGTCACTATCCGAGCATTATGGCTTCCCCCGAGGACCAACCAACCCCAAAGGGCTGCTGTCACCACATATGTATATTATATTTGGTTAAAACTACCTGCACCTCCAGTCATTCCCCCAAAGCTGCACCTGCACTGCCCTTTATTTCATATGTCACAAATACTGTTCCTGTATATCCTTTAGTCTCACTTCCTGTATGAATGGGCCCATCCTCTCCCACATATACCCTTCCATGAATTATCTCATCCTCATCCAACCATGATTGTCCCCATCCTTCACTGTTAAGACCTCAATTCACCCCTCACTGTAGTTGATCAGATCTGGGATCAGAGTTTAAAGAGAGAGAATGCTGTTGGCATGCTTCGCTGTATATTTGTTCAACCATCTAATCCCCACATACTAATACTTCATATTGAAGCCTCAGTATATTATTTGTGCCTGTAAGTGTTTGATATCTCGTATAACCCCTTTAAGTATGATTTTTAAAGTTGCTGTTATTCAATTTTGGACTTTTAGTGTTTTCTTTTCTCCACATCATATTTAATATTAAAACATAGATTATTACATTTGCAGTCACCAAAATGATGTTGTTTTCTCAGTTGTTTAAACAAACTCCTGTACTGTAGGGTTGTGCAAAAATAAATGGTCAACAAACATGAACTTTAGCTGAACTCTATAGCTAATATAGTAAATCAGCCAGGGGATGATGTCACCAATATAGCTGTCACTGAGGCCTTGGCTGTTTCACAACAAAACCCTCAGTTCAAGCAGTCGGTTTACAGACACTGTTTATCAAAGGTTTGGTCGGATTTTTTACTCTAGGAATCATATTGCTGCTCCGTCTCTAGAACAAAAAATTACTTCCACCAAACAATTGCTCAGAAACATTACTTATGACCTTACATTCAACTACTTTCTTGTTTATCTCTCTCGTAAACAGCATTTTTATTAACATGACGACCACTCAAAACCCAATTATCTCAACTCTGCCTGCTGATGCTTCTGAGAAACAGTAGAAGCCCTTTTAAACTGATGCTACTTCAAATATAAAGTCAATTGGTGGATTAATACTAGCTAAATCAGTCATTTTAGGGTTAATAAAAGTGCATTTAACCAACAGATATACTGTACACTACTCTAGGAAAGACTTGCCTCCACTGCTTTCACAGTGGTTTGGACCCAATGTGTGTTTCAGAAAACCTCATTCTACAACTTTGCTCTTTGCTCAAGTGGTGGCTGTTTGCTGTTACTCAGAGGGAGGAAAAGCAATATGTTCAGATGGAAAAAAACCTGCATTTATTATCCAGGGGCACCTGAACTTGCCAGAATAAATCACATCATCCTGTTTGTGTTTTGCTATTGCCAGCCAAGAAGCAGAAGTTTGGTTCGATGCCAACACCGTCTCCAATTTCTGCTGCAGAGAGTCGCAACAATTCAAAACACAGTGGAATACAAAAGGCACTCGGCTACAAAACAGGACTTTAAACTGTATCACAGGAGACACTCGCTCCTAGCTGAATGCTTAATGCATAGCTAAATGACAAAATATGTCCAAAAGATCAGAAGTTGTTTTCTACATGAGCACATTTTCGAAATACCTCCACATAGTGATTTTCTCTAAGGATTTTTAATAAAGCTGATTAATGGCACCATCTAGGCCACTTAAAGGTGGGGTAGGTAATTTTGGAGAAACCAGCTCGAGTGCGCTAGAATTTGAAAATACACAGCTGGAAAAAATCTGCCACTTCCTTATAGAGCCCCTCCTCCAACACACACGAACGCGCACATGACCAATGAGGGCACGAGATAAGTTTGTGCACAGATGGAAGGCTGACAGGCAGGTAGGCCATCCAGTTATTTTAGCCGGGCCGGCTAAAATGATTGGTCGTGCTTTTTACAGTACTACGGCTTCCACAGATGACATTATTTTATGGATTTTTTGTCAAAGCACTTAAGATATTCATTGCTATCGGGATGTTAAGAGCATTCCATGGAATATAACAAAAAGTGTATCTCGAGCCGGTTTCTCAAACTTACCTACCCCACCTTTAAGTTAGTCTGAGGTTGTATAAGAGGAGTGTACAGGATGCAAACTTCAGGAGTGTAACCTCACACTCACTGCTCTTCACATTTTGTCTCCTCTCATCACACTGTCTGTCTCTCGGGGGCTGAGTCAGCAGAACAGAGCAGCCTGACCCTGCAGGTTTACAGGCAGCAACTTCATTCAGCTTTGTCTCCCAATGCATCACTGCAACACTGATTAATCATGAATAATGTATACAGGGAGGGGTTTCTTGGAGGTGTAATTCAACATCTAAGTTAACACTGAAAATATTTTTGCACTGAATTTCAAGTATAAGATAATCTTCTTGTATAATGCACAATGATATGATGTGATAGCTCTGGGGCTTTTCAGAACATAAAAGACTTCAATTCAATGTGTTTATCAAACAATTCAGAGGACCAAAGTATTCTACTTAACCACAACTTTATAATGCAAGAGCCTTTTTGTGTCTTCGGTTTTATGATTTATTTGTTTATTTGCGACATTTCAACCCCTTGTGTAGCATGTGTTCAGTGTTTCCCCTGCCCATCACTCTTCCTGTGGCAGCATGTAATATGTCATCCTCCAGTCATCAATCACCCTGTCCTAATGTGACAGTTAACTGTACAGTGTTGGTATTCATTTCTTCTTTTTTCCCTCCCTCCTTCTTTCTCTTTTGCATTTTATCTTCTGTCCTCTTTACTCCTCTGTCATTTCTCTCACCCTATTCCACCAACCTCCTTATCCTGCTCTTTCTCCCCCCCCCCCCCCCCCCTCCAGTCTCTATCAGCCCCCCCGGCCCTCAGCTGTGTGGAGTCCCTGTGCTGCTACCAACATGGGCAGAGCGGCTGTTCCCGCCTGGCCTCCCTCCTGGAGCGAATGACCGGGCAGTGCCAGGCCAGCGCCAACAATTGCCACGCATCCAGCCGCAGCAACAGGTGGGGAGGACTACAACCACAAACTGTGATTATGAACCCTGATGATCAAACATTTGGGCTGGAGTCCTGAGTGTTTTAGTCCTTAATATGGCTACAACTACTGTAACGCTTTCTTGTTCAGATCCGTTGCAGGTTAGGCGTACAACAGTGGTGGAGCAGGGTTTAAAAGAGACTGGTTTTAGGGTGTGACTTGTGGACAACGACCTAACCGGGAGAAAGGTGTGTGGATCAAGCCATCATGGACAGCTGTAATGATGTTCTTATTTGCATCAAAGTCAATGTTAAGAGTGTTGAGTCACTTTTATTTGAAAAGTCCGAACGGTGTAATGTCCACAGTGTATCATCATAAATATATCAGTTCATATTGTAACCAAAATCATAGAGACCAATAACTGAAAACATTGAAAAGGCCATCCTTTCCATGTTTGGCAGAAGCAGAATTTGGAGACCTGGTTCGACATACATGCATCCAACAGGTCTCAATAATACACTGTAACCTGTCCTGTCTGTTTAGCCTCTACATTAGGACAGGGCAGATATTAGCCCGTCTCTATGTCATAATCATCTATACACTGTGTCTGTCTGCTTTGATTCTGTTCAATACTTCCTTTAAATCAGAGGTTTGGTGTCCACATTAGCCTGATAAGCCAGTTTCTTTTTGTAGAACTGCCTAACCCTTAATGCACTTTAACAGATGACACCATTGTCTATATGTCAGTAATTAAGTTGACTTGCTTGTTTTATGTTGTTATTCATTGGAGGGCCTCACCATTTTTAGAAGAGGCCGGATAATGACTAGCTGTTTGAATTGTTTCTTATCCAAACACCAAATGTTGCGTGTGCACATTTCTGTCCTTAAACCATAAATGAAGAGATATGGAAGTGCTTTATAAGTGGCGGGTTTTTTGGACTTTCAAGCTGCAATTGGCAATTGTGCATTGTGGTGGCCTGACATTTCTGAGGGGTGAAAGTCATGAAACATGATGTCAGTTTACTGCAAGAAGGGAGCTCTCACTAAGAGCAGATCATGTCTTTCTCTGCTGCAGCTCCACTTTGCGATGATAAAACATCTATAACTTGTTGTTCTCTTCATAAAAAGCTTGCCTTGCGCAGCTTTAAAGACAAGTGCGCTGAGTTCACAGTTTGCCGGGCTGCCCGATCTGCAGTTTCAGTGTTATTGTCACTTTTTGTCTGAATCGCAGTGACTCAGTGCGGTCATGGATTAATCGGCCCTTTCTGCTGAGCAATTAATACTCCCCAAAACAGCTGGGGACTCTGGGTATCGATCACATCAGTAATGAAGATGTAGCATTCTTGTTGTTGGTGTGTGAGAGCTTTGCTGTGGCCCGCTCAGAAGCATGCATGTTTGTGGGTTCATCACTGTGTGTTTGTTCAGGCTAATGATAGCATGCAGGTCATGAAGGGGATGCACTGTTCCTCCCTTCAGCCCCTCTGGACAGCAACCTGCAGGTTCTGTGTTCTGCCTCAGTTTAGCCTGGGAGACGCATCAATCTCATAGTAGAGACATGAAATGATGGGATGTAACATCTCTTTGTAACCAATTTTTAACGTATACAAATAACGCCCTGTGAGAAATGAATTACCATCTTCTGATCTGATGATTTGTAACATTGATTCAGCCAGTCAGGAGCATAACACAAGTCCTACATTTTAATATTTATACCCTTCTTTATTCTTCAGACAGAGGTGGGTGGGATATGCTCCGTGAAATAATCGATTTCAATCGTCGTCAGGGTCACTTCGCTGAAAGAAAGGAAACGCTCCAGGGTCAGATTGCCACTAAATGCATGATTCAATTTAGAGGAATTTCTTCGTGTGGGAATGATTGATTTGTTTTCTGACCTTGGCACGAAGCAGCCAGTTGAATTCTTCCAACAGCAGTCAATGTGGACTCCCAGAAGGATGAACATGATCACAAGGAAAAAGCTGTGCTTAGCTGTGCGTTATACTGTAAACTCAGTGACAAATCAAAGACAAGTTGGATCTGAATGTGATTCCCTTTTCTCCTTCCCTCACCCTGTTCTCTCCTCTCCTCTCTTCCTCACCCAATCTTTGCGTTCCTCTACTTTTTCGTCTGGGTTTGAGGAAATAAAACAACTTAAATAAATAACAAGCTTGCCCAGATTTGGCCTTAATGCTAGGAAACTGCCTTAGGGGAAAGGGAACATATATACACCCAGTCCTATATAACATACTAAATGACTGGAAGGAACATTTAATAAGCATATTTACAAACATATGTAAGACAAAACGTATATATCTGTTATATATTGGAAGCCAAACTGTAGCTGGCTGCTCGCTGCCTGTTGTTGCAACTCTGAATCATGGCGAGAGGCGTCAAGCACGAACAGACGTCAAGAGTCAAAGAGGTTTTTGATAACAAAGGAGTGCTTTTTCATCGCCATGTCAAACTGATTTTACCCGTACCTTCGAATGTAGAAAAAAGGAGGGCTTTACGATTGGCAATTCCAGAAAGGCTTCTTAAACATCCAGGTACTTGAAATAAAGAAACATTGTTGAAAGCATTTAAATACAATAAGCAGGCATACTGTATATCCACAATAAAACTATACATACTAAACCAACACAAATAAAACATCCTACTTGGTGTTTCATAAAACTATTATTTTTTTGTATCTGTTTTGAACCTGAACTTAATGCACCATCATTTGAAACAATATATACAGATACAAACTCAGCTGCTTTCTAACATCTCTGCAGACATCTGCTTCTCCTAGAAAAGGGAGATCCTTAACCAGAGAGGCTGCTGGGAAATGTAGTCAGAGAGTATTTTGTTCTTTGCTACTTACTGTTACTATTTGTCTTTTTCTACTGGATCCTGAAGCCTTATATGTGCTTCTGAAAAGAGGTTCTTTTGGGGGTACGCTTGTTTGATACCCAGGGGTGTTCCAGGTGGGTGGAGTTTTCCTCTCTCCACAGGTTTAAAGACAGTATATAACTCCACCTGTCTTGTCCACTACTAGCTACAAAACAAGAATACCCAGACTCTGTCTTGTTGCATGGGGGCTGCTGTTGCCTTTGGTACTTTGTATACACTGTAAACCTGTATGTAACACACTCCTCCTGCCTGTCTGTCTGTCTTTCTGTGTTTAAATCTGCATAATGTTGTTCGACCTTCCAGATCATTTATTCATGTACTGTTTAACGTCCCTCGTGAGCTTCGTCTTGTAAAAAATGTGCCTGTTCTGGTCTTTTCTCGGCTTCATGGTCCCACTGGCTGAACTCCAAAAGTGTTTTTTGTGCTTTGTTCAGCCGTAACCCGGGGAACAAAGATGCTTTCAGCCCCGAGATGTTTGAGGTTGACCTGGTAGAAAGAGAGCTGGTGATGTAGCACGTGGGGAGAGCCTCCAGTCAGAGCACCATTTGAGTCATCGGGCCTATTTAAAGTCCCTGGGTGGCCCCGTTTCCCAGGTCTTAAAACGGTTGTCTTCATCTCACAGAGCGGCGGTAAATGAAAGGTCATGAGAATGTATTAACGTTAAGCAGCTGACATTTAGAAATCAAGAAATATCTGAAGATGTGGATGGACAGGTGCAGTTCTCCTCTCGTTGTATGTTCAGCTACACATCTATTCAGGCGTTTCAGGCGTTTCAGTCATGTGGAGATCAGGTGTAGCGGCCTGTGTTGAAGCTCCGCCTCTCTGCTGCTTTAGGGGAGACGCTCTGATCAGTGACCCCGGCCCTCTCTGATGTGAGTCAGCACGCTGGGGGTGGGTTGGTTGTGACCTTTACGATTCATATAGTGGCAAGCTGTGACTCTCATGTTGGATTTTCTCTTCTCGTCCAGCCCGAGGGTTTAGCGGGGGAAATGTTTTGATCGCCCTAGAAATGGATGAGTTTGTGTGCATTTTCCAAAGAAGATCCAGCTTGCTAAGCTAATAACAGAAAGTACTTATATATACATTATAATACATGATATCATAGATTTTGTACTAAATGCATATATGTTTAATATTGTGCGAGAGAAAGTCTGATTCGTATTTTTCTAGTCGATACCCGACTGAGCTCACAGTATTGTGTATTTGACCTGCAGAGAATCAGATGTTAGCCCAGTTTATCATGAGAGTGGACATGTGAGGAAAGTATGTTGTTGATGCTTTAAATTCATTTCTTTAATTTATATTTATGATGATTGGGATGATTTTTATCCATGAGTAGCTCAAGTCTCGCCTCAACAGGTTTCCAAATGCACAGCACAGAGAAATTACATTTTTCTGTGCAGCAATGAACCCTAACCCTCATTTGTTTTAATTTGGAGGCATAAAGGTTATACGGGATAATTAGTTGTCTGAACAACTTCATCAAAACTGAACTTTTGTAGTGACCTGGAATGTTTTCTATGTTCCTTTATTGCTGTTTAAATAATGTCATAATGAACGGCATTAGCAGTGCAATGCCAACGTATCAATGTTCCTTCCTCATAGTGAATGAATAGCTATTATTCTGTCATATTACAATGGACTTTATATCTGTACGTTCTTTTGATTAAGTTATATTTTAACACACCTAATCTGGTTCCAATCCTCTGCAAACCAATGAGTAAAGCGCAACGGGACGCAACAGAAATATTCCACATCCCTCATACAAAATACATCTTTACATGTAATGATCTGAAACACTTTGTTATCCTTAGACCTTAATAAGCGTGAGAAAATGAGGCGAGACTTAAGACACTCCTCACTAACGCCATCCCACCCATTACTAACTCTCCATCCCTCAGACTTTCTGCTTCTTCTCGCCTGCTTGTGTAGAATAGAATCCCAAACCTTCAGGAATCAGTGTGTTATCTCCCCCTGCCCCGCCCACACACACACACACACACACACACTCTCTCTCTCTCCTAACCCTCACTCACTGCTGCCTGTTTCAGGTCTTGGAGCGACACGGAGAACTTCGGCTCCAGCGACCGCAGCATCCTGACGCTGTCGCCCATCGAGGTCACCCACTGCTGACCCCCGGGGGGGGGCTGTCAGTGACACACAGAGCTTGGGCTGGGGCTGGGGGGGGGGGGGGGGGGGGGGCGGCTCCTTTTTATGCGAACCCCTTACCCTGCAACCATTTCATAAAGCTTCTCCAGTTTAAGATCAATGCTGGACGCATCGCGGTGAAACCAAAGGGCTTCAGCTTGTAGTAGCTTAATACCTGAACTCTAGAAAGGTTGAGAAGGACGTCAGATGGAAGCTTCTCCAGTAGGAAGATCATTCAGCGTTTGAGCGGCAACCGTTATCAGATTCCTGCTGCTTATAGGGTCCTTCAACATGATCTGAAACACCTTACTTAAAGTAAAGACATCTCTACTTTCAGATCAGTTACATAACTCTCATGGGGCTATTTATTCTCAGCAGTCTTACGTACTTTGTAGACTCAAAAGATTTCTGGAGATCTGGACTTTTGCTAGCTAACGTCAGGCGGTAGCTAAGGACTTTATCCTGGTTTGGACATGCTAAATAAACCCAAGACAGGGGCGTATAGAAACCAGCCGCCACAATCGAACATATACTAGCAGCTCGTGTTGCTTCCTGTTTGAGCTGCACCTTGGACCCTCCCCCAGATGGAAAGGGACAAAGCTTCCCAGTCGTGTAGCTTTCTGTTTTATCCAGACAGATCTCCTGTAATACTGTACGAGGAGATTCATCTCTACCAAAGACCAAAGGACTGGAGTGTGAAAGAAAAAGTGTTTATTTTTGTGCCTGATTGTACGGAAGCTTATATCGTTGTTAGGAAGACTGTTGTTATTGTGCTGCTTCCCCCCCCCCCCCCCCCCCCCCCCCCCGCTGCATTGCAGCAGGCGGCTGGGGTCTGTTTAAAAAGCCATATATTTTCAAGAAGTTATATTCTATGTAGATTCTAAAGAGGTACTGCAGATAGAAGCTGTGTTCCCAGATGTGTTCCCCCAGAATGCCTTTTCTCGCGGTTAGAAAAGGCATCTGAGCGGTTGAAGAACGTGATGCTCAGGGAATATTTTGAGTCAAAAAGGATCCATTTCTCCCTCTAGAGTTGCCTGAAAATATTCCCTGAGCATCGGATCACTTTTTATTTCAGCGAGACAGAAACGGCTGCTCGACCCAGACAGAAGAATGTCTCTACGTTTTAGAGGAATAGCTATATCAGATCAATATGATTCAGCTTCTACAGAGATGAGAAGAGAAGCAGAGCGTTTGCACGAATCACATATCAAAAATCACCTTGTGTTGTTTCTCAAATCATCGCGCACCATCTGAATCATTTTTTTGCCGTTACGTTGATGAAGTGTGTGAATGTGTGTGTTGGTGTGTTTCGATGCCGGGTGAAGTAAGGACGGTACGTAGCCTTGTTGTCAGCTCTCTATTGGACCTCAGCACATGTAGCCAGCAGGTCAAAGGTCAAACCTTTCTCTTTGATGAATGATTTGACCTCTTCTTCCATAAAAAGGGGATGTTCAGTTGACTCCAGAAGTGAAATGTAGAAATGTTTCAAGACAACCGTTTTAAACTTGACACGACCAGTACACACCGCAGAGTCATAGGATGTTTCTGTTGCTACGGTTACTGTTCAAAGAAAGTAAATATCATTTTTGTCAGTCAATATCTTTGAAGTTTATTTCCATATGGTACACTTTGTTTGACGCGTACCTGTTATATCATTTCTGTTCCTACAGGTGCACCTGACAATGAAAGTGTCTATTTATTATTTTCGCGGTACTCTTTTCTCCTTCCTGTGTTTTTGTTTTTCTCTCATATCAATATGTAATGTGTGTTCTGTGCATGGCCTGAATGCAGCAACTTTCCCACAGTGTCTCACATGATCTATGTGTTGTTTGATCTGAAAGGCCATTCTGAAGTAAACAGGAAGTTAGTTATATTCAATGATATGAAAGAGCAAAACAAAACTTGGAAACTTTAAGTTACATTACTCAGAAACCTGTTTTATTTCCTTTTCTTCAACATATCCGTTCATATCTGCTATTAAAATGTCTAACTGGATAAAACTATGATACCTGTAATCTGTGCCTGGATTAGGACAAATACATGTCTCTGCTGCAATGTCACACATAAAGGTCTGTTTCCTTATAGGAGCACTATTCTCTGAATTCTAAGAAAATACAATGCTATTGAGTTGCATTGTGGGTATTGTTTGAACGTAGGGGAACATGTAGGTTTAATTTAGATAGACAAATACAAGGGATTGAAATCAGGATGTATCTTGGATCTGCTGAGTTAACCCCCATTGTTGTTTCTGTATGCGAGTCAAATACTAAATCCAGAAGCACCCCTTAGATACCTTTTCAAATACTTTTTCAAAAAGAAAGTAGAAAAAGGTCTACTTTCTTCCTGACAGAAAACCAAAAGTGTGAGGGAAGACGAGTCCTGCCTGCCACAGACAGCTCTGATGCCCCCTTGTGCTCTACTCCTGATAGAAGTTATTCTAAATATGATAATTCAATCTATAATCCTATAACAAATAAGCAACAATAAGTTATTAGCAAATAATGCTTCCCTAAAGATTTTTTTTTAAAAAACCACCAGAAATGAATGATGGAGAGGGTTTTTATTAATAAACACTTTAATTACAGAATGTCCTTTCTCTAAAGTAAAATACAATGTAATAAAACCAAGCAATAAAACCCCCGTATTGTGAAAAGACCCATTATGAAGTTACATTTAATAATACAATTATTTTTCAAAATATATATGTATATGTGTATCCATACAGATTCCTTTAATTACATGTCATTGATATTGGCACTATACATCTATGCTTCTGTTAATGCAGAAAAAAGATAGTGTCTTTTTTAAAGATCGTCTTGACATTAAACACAACCTGATTCTCCAAAGCGTCAAAGCACTGATGTCATCGAAGCTTCATCACAAGGAGACGCCGTGTTTGGATACGAGGCCTCCGGGGTATTTCTAAGAGCAGGGGATTACCCGGACACATAATTCAAAAGTTGTCATTTAATATTTGATCGAGTCTGACTGCAGATGGTGATCAGGTCATCCATCAGAAGCACCTTCTAGGTTTAATTAGGTATCTTATCAAGAGCGGTTCATCTTCTGTCTAAAACCAAATCCTCCTGCTTCAGAACACATTGGCTTTGTATCGTAGGAGTAAAGAACAAATGAACATAGAAATCTGTCTGGTTAGTCTTATTACATCCAATCTACACAATCATGTAGAGATCCTATTGAATATATAGTCATTGTTAACATAAACAGTACGAAGGCTCTAACTTTAACGATAATGTTCGGACATTTTGAACTAAGAAGTTGCCGTCAGTGCGGAGATGCTTTGGAAGACTGCAGACTTAAATCAAATAAAGTTTCCACAATTGGATAAGCTTAAAAGAGGAATCTAAATTAAAATGTCAATCGATCCATTCTGTGCTGCAGAAGGTCATGTGACTCAGCTTCAGGCAGAACACCATGTTTCCTCTGTGCTCTCATTGGTCAGCCATGCTGCACCGGACGGTTTGATGAAGCTCCATCATCTTCATCTTCTTCTGTTTATGTGTCGCTGTGTGTCCTTCCTCCTCCTGTCTGTAAATCTGTCGTATAGCTCATGTTTATGAAGATGCGGTTCTATTTACGAAATAAATACATTTTTAAGAAACACTTCTGTGGTGTGCGACTGTTCTTTTTAAATGTTTTTAAAAAAAGTAATGGAATAGTATGTTGTAGTATTTCAAATAAGGTCAGGGAGGCTGTGGCGCAGTGGAATAGTGCGTTGGTGTTTGGATCAGGGGAGCACTGGTTCAAACCCCACTGCAGTCAGCATGTTGTTGTGTCCCTGAGACACTTCAACCCAAATTGCTCCTGTGGGGATTGCCCACAGTGTTGAGTATGTAAGTCGCTTTGGATAAAAGCGTCTAACAAGTAACATGTCATGTAAAGTCTGAATATAGTGCCATATAAAAAGTAATGAAAAAGTTATAGTATAGTATGCCATAAATGTAAAATGAAATGTATTAAAAAGATAATACCATTTCATAAAGAATTTCTTAGTATTGTATGCACTAAAGTAAAAGTCAAAAATAATATTTTAGAATAGTACATCCAAAAATGTCATACTACACTATGTTTTAAGAAATTCAATTATATTTCAAAGGATATCATTGGCATTCAAAAGTGATACTACAGTATTCCATAAAATGATCATTAAAAATAACATAGTATAGGAAAAAACTAAAATGTAGTATAGCATGTCATAAAAACATGTCCGAAAAAGTCATAAAATAATATGGCATAAATAAATGTCATAGTATAATGCCATAGAAATTGCATAAAAGTTTAAAGGTTAAAGTTATATCATGGTTTTTTGTGACAGTTGTATAGTACGTCTTACAATACATTACGTCACCCTATTTATGCTCTAAAAGTGTGCCATAAAATCATACAAATCAAAATGTAATAGAATATAAGATAAGAGTAGTCATATAAAAAAAATATTATTTTGTATGCCATAAAAATAATGTTAAAAATAGTCTGCCATAAAATGTTAACGTGTAGTCTGTAGGTCTTGACGCCATATTAGGGTCTGCAATAAAACGTCATAATATAGTTTGCCTTAATTAAGTATGCCATCAAATGTCATATCACTTGTTTTAGGACTTGTACTCATACCATTAAAATGTCATAGTATAGTACCGGTATATCTTTTAAAAACATTTCTTTAAAACATCATATTATAGGAGGTCATCAAAATGTCAGATAAAATGTTCTAGTATGTAATAAAAACAGGATGTAATGGTTTGTCATAAACAACGTATTGGGGGAATGAACCACCTGACTCAAGGCGTGGTAAAGCTCAATACATGACAAAAGGATTAAGAGGAGAGGGAAATGTGTTAAACTAAGCAACACACCTTCAAACACAACAAGAATGACTTGACGCTGTGCATACTTTAGAAACATTTTTATTACAGTATTTTCAATACAATATTTTCTAGTCATCGGTCACATCTGCAAAATTAACACAAGTGATCATCAGGTTAAATCTACAAGGCCTCATAACACAAGTTAGTAAAAAGA